TGGTTAAAAGACAATCTTGTACCACTCAACATTGAGATCTGATTGGCTAATTCTCATTTTATTGATCAACTGCATCCTTCTTTTATAATTTATTTTAATAAAGTGATGGTTACATGCAAAATCAACCACTAAAAGGTGATTTTTAACCCTCAATACATACCTGAAATTTAAATTTGAGGGAGGAAGGGGAAGCAGGTATCATTTTCATTCTTCATGTAACACCAAGGGAAATTGTTCCAGACCTACCGTAAGCCCCCCCTCCCCCTTCCTCCTCATTCTTCACTACCTAATCAATAAAAACTGAACTGATCCAGTATAGTTTATTAATCTGCTGGAAGTTCGGACTCGTTTTGATCTGTGGTTGCAAGACTGCTAACGTCATGCGCTTGAACATTTTTACTTTGCGTCCAAGTTCTTTTTGGAGAATTGATACCATCTTCTGGTTGTTTGAGAAAGCAGTATGCCGCACAATTTTAGTAAATTAATTAATTAATTAATTTAATCTATTAAGCCCCCCTCAAACGTGCTTGAAATAAAGAAGCCCCCACGGGGGCTTAATAGAGGATTTACATTAAATGTCTTTATTGATTTTTAATTACACAGCTGATTCATTCCAAAATCAACACAGAACTCCATAAAGATGCTTTAGGATTCCTGCAAAATTATCTCCAAGTAGCTGGTATTACGCTGAGTTAAACCTGCTGGCTGAATTCAGTGAGAGATCTTGTAGTATGTAGTGTTAAAAGACAGTCTTCAAGTTGAGATGTTTCTCAGCTCATGGACGAGAGTGCTGAGTAGTATATGGTATTCAAACAGTTATGTAGAGCTTGATCCTTAATCTCAGAACAGTGATCAGAATTTAATTCTCCCGAGAATATTCCTGCTTTACCAAACGTAAACATCATGAGAAGATAATTAATGATCAGCAAAATTCCGTATCCCTCCATTTGTAAACAGTTTTTCTTGTCAGCATTTCAGTAAAAAGAAAATATTTATGAAGAAAAGTATGGCGAGTGCTGTTGTATGGAGATTACTGCTTTTAGGGTGAAAAAATAGTGTTATTTTTCATCAATATTAATTAAGATCATGCTAGGCTGCACATTAGAAAAGTGCTGTTCAGGAACTTTTACTTGAGTTATCACCCTTTTGAATTTCCAACCTGTGCAATATGATAAGTGTGTCTACAGAAATGTGCCCATTTCTCAAAGCGTCTACTGAGTGCAAAGTCTCATTCTTCACTTCTGTTGATTTTTGTACTCCCCAAGCAAGACCACCTGATCAAAGTTTGAAGATTATTGCCTCGTGTATCAATATTGCTTTTGTACTAATCCTGCTCGAATTATAACTGTTACAGTGTTATAGTGACTTAGCAGCTTAGTATAATGCCAAGAGTTTTTTATAATATTGATATCACTAAGAGGTTGGTTTTCATGCTATTTCTTTAATATTAGAAAAGACTTACTAAGACCAATAATATTTGTTTTAACAAGCAGAGTAATTAATTTTGCATTTTTGTTGCAACATGGACAAATACCCGAGTTAGACAAACTCTGGTCTACAGTAAGGTGTACTAGCTTTAGGAGAACACACCAGAAAAGAGAAAAAAATAGTAGACATTATAATAGCAGTATTTCAGCTGTTAATGATTTTTGTGCCTTTAAATAGCTAGCAGCTTCCCATGATATTATTCTTATTAACCCTGTAAGTCCCAAGAGTGACCAATATCAATTTTCTCCTAACATATCAATACATCATTAAGAGAAAAGGTGATGAGGAATAACAGAATGATCATCAAAGGTAACATTCTTTGATCATTCTCTAAACTACTTCCTTAAGGAAATGTTCAGTGAGATCGGTCTTGAGAACTTTTGTTGATTTTGGGGTTAAAAAGGTTAATTGACCACTGTAGTTGCAGACTTAATATTGGTATCACAGCCACTAAAGAATATTACATTATTGCCATTATTGGTATTTTTGGTGTAACATTTGTACAGTAAAAATCTTCAGATAGAGTTCAATAAAGTAAAAGAGTTAATTATCTACTATATGCTTTGAAGTGATTGTTTTGAGTGATTATTTGTTATTTTCTTGGAATAATCAATTCTTTGGAGAGAAAGATTACAGTCCGAATTTCAAACGAGTACTGCGAGTCATTTTTTCTCCCTCGGAAATTCAGGCTAAGATGATATATCATGTCATAGTTCTATTTCCATTCAATTTCCCCATTACCACTGACTTTTTGGTGGCATGGTATGTTCAAAATAATAGGTCACTTTCCACAGAGCTGAGTAGGGAGGGAGGGGGGGGGGGTGGACAGGGTGGTCACAACCACCGCCTCCCGTACCCCTTTGCTCGTTTGTCTCCCCACAGATGAGACACTGACACAGTCGACACACGTTTACATGTGTGATGCCATCTCATTCATGACCTATGATGTAAGCGACTTGGAAAGGTTTCCAATTTCACCGAAAGTAATGCCGTGCTGTTTTTTTATCCTGAGTACGAATTTTCGTTTTTTGACTTTTCTCGCCTGGGAGAATGTTAAATGGACGTTGTTGGGTTCATTTCTTTGACTGGATGATAAGCAATAACGAAAGCTTTCCTTTTTGAATTTCTCCCGCTTCCCACCGTCGTAGAGAGCCGCTTCCCGCCCTTTCTTTTCCTGTCAACCTACCCCTCCTGCCTCCCCCCGCCCGCTCTGAGTAGAGGTCACCATGCTACAGATAAATTAACACCACCAAATGTCTCCTAGTCCTAATCTCTTTCGAAATGTTCATTTAGATCATGGTATCAGTTGCAAGTGTTACTGTAATTTTTGTGCTGCAAGTTTCCAACAACATGCAATATGGTGATGAATCAAAGTAAAATTACCAACAGATAATCTCAATTTTCATTGCTGTTTCAAGGGCAACAAGAATTTCAACTGAATTGCGTATGTGAACTGGCCTTTACATACATTATGGCTGTGCAGTGACCTGAGAGACCTTGGTGTTGCATAATTGCCATCTGCCCTCTCCAGTTTAAAATTGCTGAACATCACTCACTGGGCACTGGCTATGTTCATTTCGAAAAATGAATTCATTTTTTACGAGACTGGTAATTTCTACATTACTTTAATGAAATAAGTTCTCAATCACTCATTGCCAGCAGTGAAAGTAAAGCCATCCACTTGGAGCCTCTATCTGCGACCAGTAAGTCTCCGTATGTTAGACTTTATTCTAGGGTGTGTAAATTGGCCAAAGTTCTTCACTACTGAAATCACTTTCTTCACTACTAAGATTCTGAGGACTCCGAACTTGAATATGAGTTAAAGGACTGCCTAGAAATGCATTAAGCTATGTTCTCTCGATACTTTGTTGTTTGTCATTGCTGGAAATCTTACTCCATTCTGACTGGTTGAGAGAAAGAAATCAACTCAGTTCTCAAATTTAACGAGGGCGTGGCTCATGGGTTCTTGTTGCAGTTTCAGGTAATAATAGTTTCCATGTAGTTGAAATGAAAGACAACCATGATTTTCCAGATATGATTATTGCATCAACATTCTACCCACTGGTCTAGCTGTTTCTCTCAGGATAACAGGCCCACTACCTTCTCTATAGCTATGGGTAATTTAGCCGGAAAGAACTGGCGTGTGTTAAGCCAGGTCTTCAAAACTCAGTCCTGTAAACACCCAACCTGAGAGATTGTATTCAAACAGTTTTAGAACCTTCTCTTTAATTGAGCCAATATGTTCATTTTTAAACATCAGAATCTCTTAAGGAACCAGCTTTTCGATAATTTTTTAAATGCTTCTTGTAATTAGTATTACTTAAGCATTGTAATTAGTACTAAGTTGAGTGTTGTAATTAGTTAGGTAATGCTTGTAAATAAATAAGATTGTTCCTGAAAAGCCCCTTTGGGGAGGAAACATTTTAACCTGTTAGTTAACTTCTACATACATATAGTTTTTTAGTTGATAGTCAGGGCTGTCCTGGGTATAAAAAAGTAGAATTGGAATTGGATCCACAGCTGGCATCACGCTCATAGGTCCCGGAAAAAAATCCCCAGCCCATGGAACTTAAAGACTACTCTGCTGGTGTTGGTGAAGCAATACATAGACAAAGAACAGGTGTCAAGAAAGTATTTGCACAGTTGTTTAATGATTTCTCAAACTTGCACTAAAGAAACTATTGGAGGTTTGACTGTTTAATTCTCATACTTTTCTGCTTTTCAAATTTTATGGCTGAAAGTTTTCCTAGGTTTAACCTACTGCCTCTAAAAATAAGTCAACAACGTTAATTTCAACATTTTTAACACCTCAAGGTGCTGCTTAGGTGATTGAAAATTTTCCCTGTTAAGAACAATACTGATAGCTATTATTATGTCCACGTCAGTTGATGTGGCAGCCAAAAAAATTTATGGGTGATGGAAAGGATGGACAAAAATTGAAATCGATATGCTCTTAATTCTACAGATCCAAATACTATTTGAGATTTGTTATCATCTCTGCGTTTCTACTCTTACCACACTTCCAATCTGCAAGTTTAAACCACAATGTCAGAACAATCTACCTTACAATCCTCTACTGTCCACGATAGCATAGATAAGAAAGGGGCTGCCACAAATGCAAGTATGTACAGTACAAGTTGCAGTGAAGCCGATGGCGATCAGTTCTGTAGACTGGTATATCGTTGACGATACAAATGAGCAAGTACTATTTAACTACTCTTTCATTTACCTAGCTACAGTTTTTAAGAAAGGAAAGCGGAACAAAGTTGTGCGTACTGCGAAGTAATATAAATGTAAACAACGAATGATGTACGTCTTTTAGATGTAGTGTATCCTGGAAGGCAATCCCAAATGCAAACATGGCGAAAGTGTCGTTAACTTTTCAGTAGATCGCTAATAAACTGTAGTTTGGTCTTTGAAGTGCCAAATACCTGCTTTGAGCTCATGGTCCTCCTCTAAACCGCAACATTATTCTTGGAATGTAAGAAATCCTATTAAAATGTTTCGGTTCGTCAATGAATGTACGGATGACTACAACAGCAGGCCATGCCGGGAATTATATGCTTGATTCGAAACATTCTTCTCCACACGGAAGTATCAATATCACCTCGATTGTAAAGTGACAAATTCCTGCCGTTTTATCACCTATGAAGTCTGCATAAAGGAACATGACCGAGAAGAAACGTCGGTGATCGATCTTGTGATCCAGCTTACGTTTACAGGTAACACGCTACAAGTAGTAGACTCGCAATCGAATGACGAAATCTTTTAGTTCCTGCTACGTGCTACACTCCAGCAAAAACAGGCAGTTTCCAATTCCACTGTAGCATATGAGAATCACAGCAACGATGAAAACGATGGTACAGATCGTACAAGGGCGTCTTTCAAGAAAGAAACTCGCCAAATACAATGTCATAAACATCGAATGGTTGTGCAGTAAAAACAAGTTCGCTGGGCGTGGAATGAGAAGAAGAGGCAACAGCCATTGTAAGCAATACATTTCACAATATCAGCGTCCACACACTATTCAGGAAATCTTAAAATCGCGTCAAATTCCGATAAAACTTACTCAGAAACTGAAACGTCTCGAACCCACGAGTCGCCAAAATTCAACGAATAACTGGAATCCAGACCCTTTCCCGACACTCTTTTCGAATATACGTCATCTTTAGACAAAAGATAGGTCCGTATCGCGTACATGGATCACGCTCCTTATCAGACGCTAAAGAAGAAAGGCCACGCCTAGCTCTGAAATATTGGTAACTCCAAAAATATATACATATATATTCCCGACTGTAAAATAAGCCTTACTTCTTTCAGTTGTTTAAATTTTATAGTTTTATGTTTATGCACAATATTTCCACCCGGGTGGTTTGTGTAATTGGTAAGCACCCACTGTGATACAGTCGTACACACAAATAGGCCCTTTTGTGCTAGAAAAAACCATATCTCAAATCTCAAATCTTTATTTTAAAACGGTAAAAATTCATCAGGTTTTTTGTTACATATAAAGTATAACTACATAACAATATTTAATAATAACAAATACATATCTAAAGAGTGTCTTAAAAATACTACTCAAAATTACACTAAACTATACCTGTTTTCCATGAATGCTGTGTATCTAACTTAATTAACTAAAATGAAAGTTTAACAATTGCTTAAAACGATTTAGAGATTTCTCTTGCCTAAGACTGCAGGGTAGACTGTTCCAGAGAGTTGCACCTCTATAGCTAAAGCTCCTTTTTAGGTAGTTGGTTCTTGGTAAAGGGACATTTAATTTGTTCGTAGAGTCTCTTAAGACGTAGCCTGACGTACTGCGCTCAGTAAACATAGAGGATAAATAATCAGGAGCTAGATCATTAAGAGCTTTGAACACCATTAAAGCTACTCTAATTTGACGCTGGGTGATCAGGTCTTTCCAACCAAGTCGTTGTAACAAGTAGCGAGCGTCAGCATCATAGGATGAGGAAGTCAAAATGCGAGCAGCAGTTGGTGGTAAAACCGTTTTCAACAAAAGATTGGTAGATAAAGGAATTGTAAGAATAGGGGGTCTTATTGCTGAAAACAATGAAATCATTACGAGCAAGCTAAGGGAGTTAAATTATCCCCATTGGACGCATTTCAACTTTTTTCAGTGATCGACGCACTCCCGAAGGACTGGCGTCATGCGTTGAAGAGTTATGGATATGATCGCCTTGTTTCTTTCGATCTTCACGAGCAGACCCAGTTGTTTTTATCTGGTAAAGAAGTTTTATTAAGTAATGTTGACTCAAAAGGCATCTATAAAGAAATTAGAGATGGAGAAATTGTTCAACCAACTGCGCAAAAGAAATATGTTGAATTTTTTGAAAAGGATTATTTAAACTGGAAAGAAATTTACAGCTTACCCTACCAGGTTGCCCGTGACACTAAGTCACGTGAATTTCAATATAAATTGTTACACAGATATCTGGCCACCAATGATTTTTTAAACAAAATTGGTATTTCTTCATCACCACGATGTTCTCTGTGCGATGGGGCGGATGAATCCCTTGAACACCTTTTTGTCTCTTGCCTGATTACTCAGAGTTTTTGGGCAGAAGTTATTAAATGGTGTAGCAATCGGGGGTGGTTATTAACCATCTCTCTGCTATATATATTATATATATATTATATTAAGATATATTATTTGGGATAAAGGTACATAAGGACAATTTATTTATTAATCATATTTTGCTAGTTGGTAAGCAGTATATATATAATTGCAGATGCACGAAAACAAACCCTTGTTTACGAGTTGTCTTGGCAAAACTCAATAACGTTTATCAATTAGAAACTATCATTGCCAAATCAAAGAATAAAATGTCTTTTCATTTATCGAAATGGCAAGCACTCTTGACAGATGGTACACAATTGCCGACAAATACTTGTTAAGGTTTAGTAGTATTGATACTGTCGTTGTGTGTCGTGTGTGCTGTGCGTGCGTGTGTGAGTTATTTGTGTATCATTTTTTTAAAAAATTGTAATGTCGGTAATGTATGTAAAAATTAATGTTATTATTGTACGGCAAGAAACTGAAATAAACAGTGATTAAATTACAAAAAAAAAAATGCGAGCAGCACGATTCTGCAGTTTTTGTAATCTTTCAGAGAGCGTTATGCCGCAATTACCCCAGACAATACTACAGTAATCGAAATGGGGTTGTACCAAGGCATTGTAGATGTAATGTAGCATTTCTAGCGAAACAAAAGGTCTAATTCGCTTTGTGGCGCCAGTGCCGGAGGCAATCTTTTTGGATAGTTTGTCAGATATGACTATGCCATGCCATGTTATTATCAATGAGAATCCCAGGTGATTTAGTACTTGAAATTATTGCTGAAATTGTTGATTTATTATGTTACTAGCGGCGCTTGATTTTTTTTCTAAACTATGCTCAAAATTATGCCCTTTTTTGATAATCATTTAACGGGACTTAAAATCCCAATCAGATGCCAGCCCCCGCCCCCATTTCCCCCAACCTGGGTCTTGTATTTTCCTTTGGTTTGCTTAAAGCATCCGATCTCCAATAGTTTGTGCAGGTTGTAGACTTGTGACCTGGTGAAGGGCTGTTCTTCTTCTTCTATTTGCAAGTTGCTTGATGCCATTTTGTTGCGTGTGAAAGGAAGAAATCCTTACTTCTGGTGTACCCAGCGTAGCAAACGCTTTCGCGCGAGTTCGAAGTTGGAATGAGAGCTTTAACTTTCGTGCTATAAAAATAATAAATGATCAATCAGAGGGATCATGCAAGTCATAACTTTGGTTAAAAAAAACAAAACAAAACAAAAACCCACAAAAAGATATGCTGATTATGCTAGCTGGACAGTAAAAGCGGAGAACTTTTCATACACCCGCCCAAGCAGGCGTTTTTAGGGGAGCTCGTATTTCGGCCCTCCCCACAAAGCCCGAAATAAAAGCTCCCCAACGTGGGAGGCTACTTTTCATGCAAATTGCAAAAATTCATATGCATTTTTTTCCAATTACGCCAAAAATTTAATACTGCCAGAGCAATTGACAAAAGGAAAGATAACTTGCTAGAAGTGAATTTGCCATCGGATTGATGAACAATGCCCTTCACACCTTCACTTTACCAGGGACTACTAAAAAAAATTCATAACATTTGTTACCAAAAGGTTAACGTTACTTCACGTGACTTCAATTTGTGATCAGTTTTTACACTTGTGTCTTCAAAAGCTTTTATGGAATTGCTGTATACAGTGCTATCACTGACACAATGGTGAGATTGAATCCTGCACTTCTTAATTTGACTGCGAGATAAAGTTAACTCATTAAATTGACTCACAGTTTATGCCTTTGCCCTGCACCAACCTCGTTCGCAGGGTTCTCTCCTAACCTTCCCTACGGAGCCCGTCTCTCGACGGGTAGGAGAGAGAACCTGGGAACGAAGTTGGCCCTGGCCCTCTTTTATGAACCATCCGTATACATGTTTATTGGCTAGCAATTGTTTAAGTCAACATGCAGTACCAGGAAGAACTCATTTGACATTTGAGAAGGACGGCTGAATATTAAACAGTGTTATTAAGGAGGCACTGGAGCCACCACACAAAAACGGAGCACTTTATATTCATTTTAAAATACAGTTTCTTAGTATAAATATAGTAAGATTTCATTTTGCAAAAACTTTTAAAAAAGGCGTGGATCACAAACGTGGAGAAGAGTGACCGAGTGAAGAGGTTTAATGCTTTCAAACAAGAAATATTTGAAAGCTCAGGTTACCAGTGTTAAAAAAAACTTTATTCTTTCAAGAAAGTGAAGGAAACACTGTTAACTGCTGCCTATAAGCTCCCCCAATTATTACCCCCCCCCCCTGCCCAGTTTGAGCACCCATTTACCTGTAAACAAAAAAATATATCCGATTATAAGCCCCTCCAAACATATTATAAAAGGCGTCTTCAAATGTATTGAAATGAATTGATTTATTATAACGTTTTGGAGCTAAAGTAAAAACCAGTATTTTGATCAGCACTGCTAAAGCTTGTTTTGAAGGGCTTTCCCTATTTCCGTTATAAGCCTCCTCAGATATAAGCCCCTCCGTTTATAAGCTCTCCTACAACCTCGAAGATGCAAAGCCCATGCTTAATGGAAGATTCTGGTTAAGTACCTTGTTTTTCGTTTATTTCTGTCCCTTTTCGTCCAAATCTAGCCAAGAATTCATCAGTTCAATCAATGAAAAAGCGCTCCACGAGGTCGTGATTGTTGCTGGTTGTTGGACTTATTAGTTCAGTAAATATGTGAGACGGAATGTTTGGTTGATTTTTCGAATGTTTTTAGGTTAAGATTATGGAAAATTAGGAAATAACGGATTTGGGGTTGTTTAAAATTAAAAAGCTAGCCCAAAACATTTTTAAGAAATGGGCATGGAAGCTCATTAGTATACTAACTGGTTCATGTGTTTTATCCACCCTAATTTCTTTCCTTCTCAAATCAACATCTTTTCCCGCAAAAAAAAAACAACAACAACAACAACCAGAATGCCGCCTTACAAGCGGCAGTTTACCGTATGCGAGTGCGATCTACGTTACGATGGTCACCAAGGTGGGTCTAATTGTTTGAAAAATGATCAATGTTTTATTCCTGCGAACTAGGCCTTCAACAACTTAGTCCTGATAGGTTCTCTTCTCCCGTCTCTCACCTCACCAATCCCTCCGCCCCTACCTATCGACGCCTGTCACGCAGACTACACACCAACTCAATGACGCAATATGTGTGTGTCCTACGCCTGCGGATCCGAAACACCGATCAAACACATACAGAACAATTTCGCACGCATTTTAAAACTCACTTTTTCAGACGGACATGTTCCCTAACCATTAAGTTGTAAAACTCACCAAATAGGTGTACATTGCGTATTACAAGGTGGGAATTGAGAGTGGGGAGGGGGGGGGGGGAACTTTTAGGCCCGGGGTACTTCTCAGACAGAGAAAGTAAATGCTACCTTTTGCTTATTTTTTTTCTTTTGTTTCTCTCACATTTCTTTCTTTCTTCTCTTTTAGTTTCACTTTCTTTCTTTTCTTTTTTTTTTTTTTTTCTTTTCTTGAATCTTTCATAAGGGACTCTATTTTCTTGCGCCGGCGTGGGCAACGAGGACGTAAAAAAAGCAATAGGTAGAAAAAAAAAGCACAAAATAAACTCTGCACGTGCAACACACTTTGTTTTTATATTGTGTGAATTGTGGGTGGGGTGGGGGGGGGAGGTGAAATTTAAGGAACGGGGTACTTCTCAGGCGGAGAAAGTAAATGGTACGTTTTGCTTATTTGTTTTCTTTTGTTTCTCTCACATTTCTTTCTTTCTTCTCTTTTAGTTTCTTTTTTTTTCTTTTCTTTTTTTTTTTTTTTCATTTCTTGAATCTATCATAAGGGACCCTAAGATCCGGCGACGGCGAGGGCAACGAGGACGTCAAAAAAGCAATAGGTATAAAAAATAAGCACAAAATCAACTCTGCACGTGCAACACACTTTGTTTGTACATTTCTTTGCTGTCACTGCACGACTACAACGCGAAATTTCCTAATTTCACGTTTAGTGGGGGACGTAAATAAGACGAACTTTTCTTTGTCTTTCCAGTCGTTCTGGACTTGGATGATCTCAAGAATTCAACTCCAGGGGAAATCGCCTACATTTGAAAAAGTAACAGAGTTGGAATAATCGCGATGAACACCGAAAGACCGTCAATTCACTTTTAAAGTGACGTTTTCGCCGCAGTCTCTGTCCTCGGACCTCAAGGTCCCTATTTGAGATAGGCGGCCTTGGTCTTGCATATCCGGTATGTTCTCTCCACATGAAACTCACTGTCATGCTTTTTTAACGAAAGTTACCAAGATCATAAGGAAAATATTGTGATATGATTTACAGTTTGTATTTTCTTTAAAATCAATTTCACATAAAATCATCCTCATCTGATTCAGCATCCTATAAAATAACAAGTAAACATTAGATAACGCACCACACTGACAGCAAAAACCTTTTCCTTTTCCATAAAAAATTTTTTGAAGTATTTTTTGAAAATTGTTTGTGATGGGAGGCAAAATTCATGAAAACAAAACGCACCTTGAAGAGTTTTTAAAACTCTTCAAGGTACAAATAAATGACAATGAGTTGTGTGTTTAAAAATTTCAAACCAGTTTGAAAAATTTAAACAGGTTTAAAAAATTCAAACCAAAGAAAAAATTTGAACCACAACATGTATGTCAGCCACTTCAAAAGCTCAAAGTTGGTGCAAACACTACTTTAGTAGGTAGCAGAAGCAGAAGATATTTCACTTGGTCCTCCACCACTTAATTCGACTTTTAATAATTCATACCAGTTTTGCAGCTCAGGTAACAGCCGTGAGAAACATTTGTAGTTTCTTGGTACATAGCAGTATTTGACTCCAAGTTCAACGGGGTGAACCAGAAGACAGTCATACATGAACAAGAGAATAATTTGCCCAGTTATTCACCTTTTCAGTCATCCATTCATGGAGTGATTGTTTTAAAAAAAAGCCAATACAGGGTCAGGGGCTTGTCAGATATTGTCAGTAATTAATTATTTTTATCAAGCAATATATTATCTGCATCAATTCCTGTATGTTTGTCCAATAAAAAGCCCAAAACTTCAAGTACCTTGTTAGACTTCATTTTACTTGAATCCATTAGAGAGTCATAGCTTCTGCAAAATAATTCAAAGCCAGAGAGATTATTCATCAAGTCTGTAACAATAGTACATTTTGAACATGATACCATTCTAAATGACCACATAGCCTGTTCTAGGCTCCAAGATAGTGTGAAAAACCAATCAAAGAAAAAAGTGCGAAAACGTTCAAGGGCCAGGGAGACACTTTTTTTTTTGCCTGACTACACTGACTGAGAGCCTGGTGCAGGCTTACAATCATACAGTCAACTGTTTAATAAAAACCAAGTGATCCAGGCTTGTTAGAAGACTCACAATCAGTGCCATATCCTTATAGTACGTGTGTATATGGTGCTGGGCATCTAGCTAAAAGGAATTTAGGCAATGTTGAAATAAATTAAAGCAATCCTGTTTAAGGGTGACAAATGAGGGTGGCCTTCATAGGATCACCTTCATACATTTTACAGGGCTCATCTTGGCTTGCATATTGCATTCACTCGGTAGTCTGCCAGTAAGGTAACATTGGTTGTTTACCATAAAAATGAAAAATTTTTCAGAAAACCGGTTGGAAACAAAATGAAACACAACTTTTCAGGTCGTCTTGGTAGAGAATTCCAGGAGTAATGAAACATCTGAAAAGGTTGTCCTGTTTTTCTGATAGGAATGTTTCAAACAAAAATTTGTGTTCAATTCTTCAAAGCCATCTTTGATACTTCAGGCTTTCACGGCCTTTTTTTCCATAAAAGGAACTGATTTGTGCAAACGTTAAAATGTGATCCCAGGAGGAAAGTTACCAGTCCTGAATTTTTTCTTACCATTTACCCAAACTGTGAACCGACTGGTTTGCCCATGTACTGGTAAATGGTACACAACCATTGCCTACCTATTTCAAGGAGTTTTCCTTTTTCTGCCAACCCACTCCCTCTATCTGGTGAGTAGTGTCAACTGACTTTCAGTGCGATTGTACATACAGGTGTTGATGGCTTGCAGGATTACCTTCCCTATGCATGCATAATCTACAGCTGCTTCACACTATCAACCCTTAAGGCAATCCTTGTTGTTCAATGAATGTCTATAGGAGCCCAATAATAATAGTATGAGGTTCAAACAACTGATTTTCTTCCTACAATAACCAAAGAGGTGGATGCAACACACTTTAATCTTTACCTTAATGCAGCTTCTTCCTTTCTTCTCTTTTCTTCTTCTTTTTCCCTTTGTTTCTGTCATCACAAAGAAGACCAAAAATAAAAAAGTTAAAGCATAGTAATAATACCAATAATAATTTGATTATTTATTATTATTATTATTATTATTATTATTGTTCTCTCACTTGATAGGTATTTTATCGCTGAACATTTGAACAACTCTTACAATTCCCCGTTTTCAAGTTTTTGTATCCTATGTGGTACCAATCCACAACCTATGAAACACACTACATCTTCAACATGTTACCCGCTGATCAATCTTGTGGAGAAAAAATTCCAGAAGTTTATAAAATACTGTAGCACCATTACAAGAATGTTCCTTTGTTCATTTTTTTCACCTCTCTAACTTTACCTGTTCTCTTAACTTCTGTTTACCATCTTCTCTTTCCAGTCGATCCCTCTCTTCTCTTTCTTCCCGCAAGTTTGGAAACTTTTCTTCCTTTGTCTTGTTTAGTCTATTTACTATTTCATTTATCCTTTTTTCAACCTTAATAAGACGAACCTGACAACAAGATAAAAGGATTTAATACAACAAAAAGAGACCTTAAAAAATGAATGAACCTATAATAATTATTACATCAACTGTATGCTCAATATTAATGTCACAAATGCACCTTTATAAGATGCTATCTTTTTCATTACCTCTTTGTTACTGTGAAAACCCACTTGTCCAACTTCCATATCAGCTGTCTTTTTTAAGTTTGACCAAAGAGTGTATACAACGGCAATGTTGTTCATCTTGTTTCCTATAATAAAATAATTATTTAAGCATTAATGTTTATTGAATTATGATTCATTTGATTGGTGAGCATTTGAGCTATACTGACAGCAATATTTTTTTTCTATTAATCACTTTATAAGAGAACATATTGTCACCTTGAATACTGTTGGCTTTAACCAGCTGTGCACAATCTGTCAACACTGCAGAAGGAATATCATCCAGTGTTTCACCCTAAAATAAAATCTTTAACCCTTTAGTTCCCAAGAGTGACCAACATCAATTTTCTCCTAACAACATCAGCAGCTCATCAAGAGTAAAGGTTATGAGAATTACTTAATTGATAACCAAAGGGAGAGCACTTTGCTCTTAAACCAAATTCTCTCAACTGTTCTTAAAAGAAATGTATGGAGATCAGTCTGGAGATTTGAATGTGGATCTTGCGGCTTAAAGGGTTAGTATTAGGGGCTGTTTACATGGAGGGAAGAAGATCCCAAAACCAGGGAGATCCTAGAAGCTGGAACAACTTTTTGTTGGGTTTACATGCAGGAATTTTGGTCTGTGTGGTCACTAAGTAGAGAAGGAATTAAAAATAGCAGGCAACAATAACGAGCATGCAATTTGGGCCCTTCTGCCCTCATTACCAGCCTTTCAGCAGCAACTAGCAGTTATTTACAACTCCGTGATGCCAAATGAATTGTTGGTCTTTAATGCCATGATTACCCACTGAAGAACCCACCACCACTTTTGTCTGGTTTGTCCCTAGTGCTAGGATTTTCTAACGAAAGCAGATTACATACACCTGTAAGATCTTCCTCACTCTAGGGTCTTCCACCCTTTCATCTGGGAAGATCCTAGTACTAGTTAGGAAGTAGTTCCTAGCGCTAGGGACAAGTTTAACCCTTTGCATGTAAACTGAATGCAGAAAACATATGGTGCTAGGATGATCTGCCTTCTGGGATCTTCCCGGTAAAAGGATGTTCATTCCTCCAAGTAAACAGCCTCTTAATGTCTTTATCTCTTGCCATAGTTCTAACCTCAACTCAACAAGTAATGAGCAGTCAAAAAAAAATGAAGGTTTGTGAAAATTCTTACATGCAAATTCATGGCAGTTACCAGCATTAGGATATGCAACCCAAATGAAAAAATAGAAACCTTGAACTTAAAGAAATAGAAGGAAAGGAGCAAAGTAGTATCACCAGAAAAAATAATCCATTAACAAAAGATCCAGTTACCTGTGGCAATCGAAGGTAAACATGAGCAGATGATAATTTGTCCACATGAAACCTAAATAACAAATCAGATGGTTACACGAAGAGCAAAACTTTTCAATGAAAAAAACAACAGACATTTATTGTAGGCAATGATAATTTGCACAAAGAAGTTAATTCTCACCAAACATCTTCTGGAAATCCCCATTTAATCAACTCTTCATCTAAAATTTTAAAGAAGTGAAGCAAACTATAACTAAAAAAGAAAAGCCAGCAATTCTTGGTCAGGGTTAACACACAATTTAAGGCACTTAACGAGTCAAGTGAATGGAGCTAGCGAGGGAGTGCATGTCCTACACCCAAAACTAAATTATCCAAAAAGAAATAAAAGAAATAAATAAATGAATCTCGTGGTGTAAAGGCAATTTGAATAAAGATTACAAATGGAAGGTAGAACTAAATGTATCCTTGGTAATCTACATGGAATCTGGAGGCTGCTGGAACCATTTGAGTATTAAATTAAATGACTGGCTACCTGTGGACCGAGTTGGTGATTAAACAAACCAACCTATTTTTCTTCTGGAAAAACGTAGCTGTGGCTGCTGTTACCTTTGCAATTCTTAGAGACAACCTTTAATTTCCCTATTGTTTTATTGTACAAGTTATACATGCTACATATTTTAATTGTATATACATTTTTTTATTTCTTTAATTTCTTTTTGTTGTGTCCCCAGTTAGTTGTGAAAACTAAATAGATTGACACATTAATAAAGCTTTTACTTTACTTACTGTACACTGCGGCTGATAGCTAAGAATTTTAGTGTGAACTAATGCTTTTGTATTGTTTTTTTTTTTTTTTTAATTTTGGACTTATATGGTAAATAAATAAATAAATAAATGAATAAATAAATTATCAGTTCACATATTTAACGAAAAAAGACTAAATGCTTAACGTCTTGGAATGGCGTAACAAGTTTTAATTCAAGCATAATATAAGGTTTAGAAAAATTTCCTCTGGTTCACTCACTTTCATGTTTATCTAAGCCCATAAATATCGTGTATGGCGGCGTGACAACTGCAAAAATAAAAGAATAAGCATCTAGGTATAAATCACCTGTACTAAAGCTTTTCAGTCCAAGATTTGACTTACCATTGCTTTTAAAATAGAAGACCATGCTGCCTTCGAAAATTCCAAGTTCGTCCTCTGGAAAGTACAAAAACAGACAGGCCTTGAAAAAAGAGGAAGTTAGCCGAGGAGACCTGGTAATTACACTCCCCAGTCTGTCCTCTCATTCATCAGTTGCTATAGAAACATTCAACGCCGATGTATAGTTGCTTCCTTGGTAACTGTGTACACTCATTCATTCCACGTCTTCTGCAGAGACGGAGTTTATCCAGATATAATCGCTAGACGCGAAGAAAATATACAAAAATGGCTTTAACGGACCCAAAACTTCCTCCACGCTTTGCAGTTTCCGACTGGCACACGTCAAACACGGTTATAAGAACAAACGCTGAAAGACAACGCGATGCTTCGCATCGTGTTCGACAAGAAAGCCGCTTTTTGAGGAACGAGACAGATAACCACACTCGTTGGACTCAACACGACAGCAACACGAAGCTTGAAAAGAGGATACATGACATAAATAACTGGAAGAAGAGCTTAGAAAGATGTCTTGCCGAGACAGACGCCGAGATCGCTCTGCTGCAGCAAGAAAAAGAACGCACTGAACGAGCGCTGGAAGCAAAGAAGGTTCCCCTTGATATCACCCTAGAATGTCTTATGCTAAGAGAAAACCGGCAAAATATTGATCTTGTTCGAGATGAGGTTGAAGCTCAGCTTCACAAGGTGAGAAAGACTGAAAAATCATTTTTTGTTTGTTTGAAATCGTTAGTCTCAAGGTATGTACAATGTTATGAATCACGATGTTTACTAATTTTTTGTGTAAATGTAAACATTTCTAGAACAAAGACTTTTATGACCTTCTGCTTCACTGGACGTTAAAAGTAATTTATAACGTCCCGCGAGAAGCTGTGTTGAGCAATTTGAGTGCAATTGCCATCATGAAAAAATTCTAGCCCAAAACATTTCAGTGTGTCTACCATTTCATAAAATTTATGTCGGTGCTATGACCGGTAACTCAATCTAGCGAATATTATAGAGAAAACCTGTGTAATTATTGTCATAAATGAATTCGTTTTATTTCAGGAAGTGGAAGTAATTGAAGGAGCAAAAGCTCTTCTACAACAGAAAGTCAATGAAGCTGACGAACAGTTATGGTAAGTTTGATAATAATAATAAGAAGAATAAAGGAAACAAGTTCTTAATATTGAGTGAGATAAAAAGGGCGGAAATGTTGAAAGCTGTCATAAAAGATAACTCTTATTCTTTTTTACTTGACTCAGTTTTCCTTATTTTCTTCTGGCAAATTGCTTTTGCAGGGCAGACGTAAATTGCCTTTCTTATGAAAGTTCCCTGGGGTGAGAGGGGGGTGCTCAAAAACGTTTTATATGGAGAGGCTCTGCTCCGAGGTCCAACCCCCTACCCTTTGCCACATTTATACCATTTTATATACTATTTTTGACAGAAATGGTACCCCTTTCATATACCCTGTATAACAAATTGATGGTACCCATTTAGAACTTTGCATCTCTTTAACTGCTGTTAGCGCAGTTTTAAAATAAATAAATCGCAAAACCAGAATGATTTCTCAACTTTTTCACAGCCATAAAGTGGATCTGTTAGCTGATTTCCCTTAACCTTTTCATATACTTTACACAGTGAAATTACTGCCCCTAATTCATAGACCTGAAGCCTGAAAAAGGTACCCCCTTTGGACAAAGCCTCCCTGTATAAGCAATTATATGGAGTACCCCCCCCCCCAAACAACATGGGACTTCCCTATTTCAATACCTGATTCACCCTCTGTATTGTTGTCTCTTCATACAATGTCTATCTTAAAAATTATCTGGAGGTGCACAATGCCCCACTACCCCACAATGCAATGATATAAGACAACTGCAGGGGGACAAATCAGGTACAACCCACCCTTGTTTCCCCGGTACTTAGCTGCACATCACATTAACCAGAAGAAAACAGGGGCAAAACATTATTTGACTGCAATATAAACACTTAAATATACCAAATTCTGGCAAGCCATACTGTTTTAATAAAGAAATCCTTGCAATCCAGTGCAAATCTTTACTCAGCATATTTCATGAACTAGCTGAGCGAAAAGTCAATAAAGAGGAACACATTTTTCTTTTTCTTTTGAAGTCTCCTTCAAGAAGCACATCATCAGCTTCATCTTGACATCACAGACAAGCATACAACTCTTGAGCTTGATGGTGAATGCTATCACCTAAACAACAACTCAGCAAACATTGGCTTTCAAGTGAATCCCACACGTACTGTCAAAGGAAGCGTCACCCCAGAGACCTGGGATTCCTTTTCTAATTACAACAAGTTACGTGCTGAGGCAGAGATGAAAGCTTCTAAGCATCTTAGAGAGGCAATTTTTGCCACTCTACAACAGACAGCCAATGATCTTGAAGCTCAGCGACAGGCTTCCGAATACGCATTCCGCAAAAGGATTCATGAAACCAATCAGGCTAGGTCAGAGCTGGAGTGGCAGCAAAAAAATGTAAGTGTCAGATACGATATAACAATTACCAATATTTATTTTTATTTGGTTGCATGGGTCTGTGAATTGGCAAGATGAGGCAAATTCTGTGTTTTAATTGGCCGCCCAAGCAGCTCAGAATTATCGTAACACCATCCTCAAAACTATCCAAAGTAACACATTATTTGAAAGTATTTATAAATATCTTTTTGAATTGATTATAATAATTATAATAATTCTAGACCAAAAAGCTATTTATAAATACTTTCAAATTAATAATTATTATTGGCATACTTCGCAAAAAGGACCTGGACTTTGAATTTGTCTCAGTCAATAATTCTACATGGTACTATTAAATTTTTGTTTTTCATAACTCTACAGAATGAAGTTATGTTTATTTTCACTTTGGCTACATTTGGGATTGCACAATGTATGATGTTAAATTTGCTCTTCTTTGTAGACCATGGAAGAAATTTCAACCCTAGAAAATGACATCAAGGGAATCAAGGAAGCAATTGATGCTAAGAATGCACCAATGATGGTAAGTTATTACAGCAGGGATTGAGGACAAAGTTTTCCTCCAGTCTGTAACAAGAGAGAATAATGGGACCAACAGAGAAACAACCAATCTAGCCCTTAATTGGGATATGTGAATTTCACCCACGTTATTTTTCGACCAATTGAAAGCTTGAAATTAATTATCCGCAAACTTTTATCCAGTGTTGTCAAGTATCATGCTCTCTTGTGTCGCCATTACAAGAATATTATGCACTGTTTGCTTTGAGGAAGTCACATGTAGACTTATAACATTTCAAACAATCGATGAAAATATGCTGACTTTTCAGGAATTAGACTCCCATTTAACATTGCAACCTCTAAAAATAATGTCAATGTATTTTACATATCCCTGCTAATGCACTAAGATTCCCTTCCTGCTCCTTTGTTCCTCTCATGTCTAACTAATGGCTGTCATACTGGACACAAGGTAAAAAGTTTTTGTTACAAATTCAGGTTGCACAAACGCGTCTGGAGAACAGGACTTATAGACCAAATGTTGAGTTGTGCCGAGACCAGCCCCAATACCAGATGTGCCATGAAGTGGCTGAAATAAGTGGCTCTGTCCGAGCACTGAATGAGAAACTCAGAGAGGCCGAGAATGCCTTGCAGGCTTTGCGGAGCAACCTGGAAAGGATTAATGAGGATCTGGCTATCAAGAACAACTCCCTTGCTCTGGACAGCAGAAGCATGGAAGTTCGGCAGAAGATGAGGGAAGTTCCTCACAGTATGATGAACACGGGAAGAGTATTCAACACTATAAAACATTCATCTCGTGTTCCCACTATAGAAAATGCTCCTTTTACTGAGGCACAACGCACCCAGTCACCTATGCAGCTTACATCCCCTCGAGCTACCAACACTTACACTCCACCAATCACTGGAAGGAAGGTGCAATCACCACTAGTTGATTAGGAGTCAGGGCGACATTTAATAGTTATTTAAGAGAGAAAATGATTGTGTGCAAATTAGTACTTGGTGGGAAGCCTCAGAGAATCTCAACAAAAGCTTGCAACAAAAGATTTGTTAAGTAGTAAACTTTTATTATTTTTTCTCAATGATGCCTTTTTACACTAACGAAAAAGTAACATTTTAAGTTGTTTTTGAGATTATAAGGATATAAATATAATTTCTTTCTACTTTTATTTCAACTCTTCCACTGTCATATTATTGAATGTAAAGCAAGCTCATTTTATTTGTAAATAACTTAATACTAATGATCAATCAGCTACTAATAAAACAGTTATAAACTTCTTTGTCTCTTTCACAAATTATTTACAATAATAAACAATGCAGATATATGCATAACTACCCATAAAAAGTTATAACCCAAGCCTGGCAGCAGGCTCTACAGTGGGAAAAAAGGCAAAAAACACGGATGAAATAGCAAAGAAAAATCAACGAGCAAAGCAAGTGGAGAGGGGGACTGGGGAGGGGGAAGGCTGCCACCCTTTCCCTTCCCAAAACTACCACTCGGCTCACTTTAATCACTGATTTTTTTGCCCTTGCCAATTTTTTCACCTTTCCCCCCACTGCAGTGCCTGGTCCCTTGCTATTATAACCACCATACGAAACTCTTGGAAAATTTGAATGTCTAACGTCTTATTAATAAAATTCTAACATGTTTCAGCCATTGTGTATAATTATTTTCACAAAATATGCATACCCCCACTGAAAGGATCATGACCCCCACCCAGGTATGCATATTTAAAAGCTTCATAGGTTGCTTTAAATTTCTTACTCCTTATGGCCCCCTCTTTCCCTGAATTTTTTTTAACCCCTTGAGGAGTATAGATAATTTTGCATACTTTCAGATCAAAGGGTCGTGTAACAAAGATGTAGCAAAACAAAATACAAAGTGGGCTGATAAAACTTGATATACTGTGTATCCTATACTCTAACATCTGAAATGCAGAGAATTTTGGGTCAAGAAAATTAGGGAGGGGACTATACCAAAACATCAGTAGAAGTTAAGCAGGGAATAAGTGAACATATTGATGGCCCCAAAGCAAGGCTGTGCTCTACAACAACTTCAAAGGAGCTCAGTCCTCTAAGCCTACGAACTCCAGGTTCGCCAGCATATAATAATGCCAAGGGCTACCTGGAGCTGCTGCAACACAGCCTTGCAAAGACTAGTCTTCAATTTGCTCTAGAAATGGCTTAATGTTGACAGATTTTGTTTTTTTTGCAAAATGAACAAAACTGTGTATAGTGCAAACAGTAGCCCCCGTGTGCACGTTTAAAAGCTGTTTAGCTAAACATGGTTTAAAATAAGTTTTTTGTGAATTGAAAATTATGTTGAATTATAGACAATTTTAAAGTTTATTCTAATCTTGTGTAAATGTCTGTGTTCCAGTTTTCCATTGCTGTTTCTCTTTTTTTTTTTTTCACTTTCTGGCATAACTTTATGAAAAATAATAAATTTTGATCTTCTGTTATTCTACCCTGCCTATCATCAATCTTTCTTGGATTGACTGTCTTTTAACTGGACTATTACCCTCTTAGATTGATATAAATTGTTTGTTTCATCTACAGTTTAAAATATACTGTCACTGAGATGCATTTATAAAATTATGTTATTTTTAAGGATGCTTATAAAATAAATAAACTGAAGACAATTTTTTTGCTTAACATTATTTGATTTTCATGTAACCAAGTTCCTTTGTGGACTGATGCTGACATCTCTTTTTTTGTTGAAGCAGAATCTGATTATTAACTCACCAAACAAGGCCATGAAAAGCACTGATGACACTACGAGAGAAAAAAATTAAATATATACATTATTAAAATTAGAATCATCTCTCTTTTTGCCCAGTTCTACTTGTCTGTCTGCCGTTATAGAGTGAATGCTTGCTGTCTTTCAAGGAACAAAAAGACAAGACAACCATTGCTTAGTTACACTCGTCTGATGGAAATGAGGATAATTTTCAAAACTCAAAATTGAATTTTTTTTTTCTTCTCCAGCTTAACACTCATTTAACCTCTGTTGCTTTGAACAACTCAATTATCCAACTTAACCAATTTCCATCTTCTTAGGAAGTAAAAGATTATATTTTTCAAAATGGCACTTTATATTGTATTGAGCAGCTCATTTCTGTGTCCCAGTATACAAGAGGACTTACAAAATGCAATCCACCACTCCCAGTTGGTTGGAAATGCTTGCATAACTGAAATAAATAAAACATAAAGATTTATTAATTTTAGTATAAATTAGGGTTGTCAGTGCTAGAGCTCCGTCAGGTATTTACTTTTAAATCACCCCCTTATAGACTGATTGATTCATTAATTTTGACTGAGCATCATAAATCTTCTTATCTTCCTTGAACCCCTTCCAAATTGGATAATATCCTTTGTAAGGTTGTTGCATCTCATCTGCATATATAGCCTGAGAAAACAGCTGACATTTCACGACGCCACCAGTGGTTTCCTTGCCATAGGATGTCTGAGAAACTAGCACAGAAATTCCATAATGATGATGCATCACTACCCAGATCTGGGAAGTGCTTCTGATTCGGGGGGGGGGGGGGGTACCAAAAAAAGTTTTATTTGGGGGGGCTCTCCCCCGGTTCCCAACCCCTTTCCTTTTTTTATCTTTTTTTTGAAAACCCTTTTAAAAAATTAATGGCCAGACCCACTAAAAAACTTTTTTTCCCTTTAACCTCTCCCCTCTTTAAAAAAAAAAAACCAAAAACCCAAAACGTTTTTCAACTTTTTTACAACCCAAAAATTCTAAATGGGTAAATTGTCTTTTGAGAGTTTGTTGTATCACTTGGCAATAACGACCCTGAAAAAAAGCTCGAGTTTCCCCGCCCCCCACGGGGTTTTCTTTCCCAGGGGTTGTCAGAAAAACGCACACAAAAAGTCCAAAAGGGGGGTCAAACCAACCCCGGATTGGGGGTGTGGTTTGGGTGGGGGGGGGGGGGTACTCAAAAAAGTTTTATATGGGGAGGCTCTGCTCCGATGTCCAACCCCTTATCCTTTTATATACTATTTTTGACAACTCTATTAACAAATTAATGGCCAGTACCCATTAAGAACTTTGTATCCCTTTAACTGCTGCCAGTCTTAAAATGAATAAATCACAAAACCAGAACGTTTTCTCAACTTTTTCACAGCCATAAAATGAATCAGTGTTAGCCGTTGTGGTCCTTTTTACAGAAAAAAAATAACAGAATCATTACCCAGACCTGGGTAGAGGCACCTCATCAGTATGGAATTTCTGAACTTGTTTTTCAGATTTCATTTCACAGGGAAACCAGTGGCACAGTGCAAAATGTCGGCTGTTGTTGTCTCAGGTTATTGTGCATTCACGTTTTGACTTTTGTGAGACAAAGCTGAAATTTGATTTTTTTTTCGTTATAAACAGGTATCAAACATATTACAGTGCGATCGGGAAAACTGTGAACACTTGAAATATGTCAGGAGTGTTCAATGTGTTATGACCAATCACAGCAAAGATCAGGACATGCGAACTAGCCACAAACCCACAAACTAGTTAAGGTTCTTGCTTGCGGTTCAGTTTTCTCATGCATGATTGGCTTTTTTCTTGCCATGCAATTAACATTCCAGAAATATATCTGGTGTTCACAGTTTTCCGGGTTTGACTGTAATTGTCACCCATGTATTTTGTGAAACTTAACTTTTCAACCAGAGAGACAAGATACATTTAGAGAACATACTACATTATGCATTGTTCTCAAAAGAATTTGCCACAGCCATAATAATAAGTTTCAACCTGTAAACATGTGTGCTATTCCATTACACTACCCCGCAATGTTTTCCCCATAAAAAGTCTGCGCTCAAATGTTGTGAAAAAAGTATATGTATGGCAGCTATGTTGGTACATTAAAAGTGCTTTTGTGATATACAGTCCTTTTATCAGTCAGTTTAGTTGGTTCAAATTAGTGCACAGAGAACAACCACATAATCACATCTGTCAAACATTTTTCCAAAGACATGTGATTATTTGATTGTCTTCAATGCACTACAATTAAAAACTAAAAGGACTGATGAAAGGAATGTTGCAAAAATACCTGTAGTAAACTGCTTCATGCAGTCATTTGCACAACAAGCCATAATCTTTTGTTCAATTATAACAATCAAATGGTGAAAGATGTCAGAGGTTATAGTTTCTAGTAAGAACATTGTTTAAGTCAACTCTGGACACCCATTACTTAAAATAACTAAAATCCACAATGATATGTACAATATTGATAGAAATTCCTACCAGCGCAAGACACAGCAAGATGAAAAAGGCCTACTGTTATAGCATAATCCCATAGCTTTTTTCTTAAAAATATTATGTAGACCACAGTGGTGATGATGTATGTCAACAAAAGCGATAAAAGTGTTACTAGAAAGAAAGAAATACACAGAAAAGGTTAAAGTGAAGAAATCATATCATCAACAGCTAAACCAATCATGATTCAACTTGTAACTGTACAAGGCAAGGGGTATAGAATGGTACCTCGAAAAACATGGGTCTCAGAAAATTTTGGCCTGATCTCGAAATCACAGTCTACATGTTTTTGATGGGTCTCAAAGTCTCACTTTGGGATGATAATTGCATCTCAGAGTCTCAAATTTTTTTACACATGGGTCTTAGAGTCTTGGATTTGATGTTTTTTTCTTTCTGCTTGGTCTTCAGGAGTCTAACTTTTCAGAGTTCATAGGTACAGCTAATCAAACTGGGCTAGTAGATTAAGACAGTTAAAGAAGCAGTATATTGGTGGGCTTCCGCTAGCTTCCACTGGCATTTTCAGTTATTCTATTTGCCTTTATTTGTACCATTACCCTAAAAATTTTCGGTGCTCAGAGCCTCAGGTTCAGAATTTGATAAAAACGCTTTAGTTTCAGTCTTGAATTCTAAAACAGGGTCTGGCAGTCTCGCAAAGTCTCAAATTTACCATTCTATACCCCTATAGCAGTCAGATGTAACCACTTAGCTTACCTAAATGCTTATTGTCTGTTACACTGCAACAATTTTGGAAATCAAAAGGAGTCTTGCCATCAAAGTCATTTATTCTGTTTAGAAAAAAAAAATGACAAAAAGTAAAGCATGTACCACATCTAGTTGCTACCGTGGCCCACAACTGTCACGGCAAAACCAAAAACATCTCGGCAAAAACAAAATACCTCACGGCAAAACTGAAAACTGCACTGCAAAAACAAAAACCTCACGGCAAAACCAAAAACCTCACGGCAAAAACAAAATACCTCACCACAAAACCAAAAACCTCACGGCAAAACCAAAGACCTCTTGGCAAAACCAAATACTTCAGAGCAAAAACCAAATACCTCACAGCAAAAGCAAATAATCATAGCAAAACCAAAGCTATTTTGCTTTTGCTGTGAAGTATTTGGTTTTGCCGTGATGTTTTTGTTTTTGCCGTGAGATTTTTGGTTTTGCCATGAGGTATTTTGTTTTTGCCGTGACGTTTTTGGTTTTGCCGTGATATTTTTGTTTTTGCTGTAAGGTTTTTGGTTTTGTCATGACAGTTGTGGGCCACCATAAGTTGTAAATTCAAAGGTGAGTCTATTAAAAATAATATTCTTCGTTTATGGTTCAAGTCATTAGTTCATTTCTAGTAATTTTAGAGGGGGTAACCTAAGAGGGGGTCATCTACCAGTAGGAGGACAACGAGAGGTAAAGGATTCCCAGTGGAATTGACAAAGAATTTTGACAAAAAGCCAAAACTGTCTAATAACTTCTAGCCTGTGTTGTAGACATAATTTTACCTCAGTTAGTATCGTCTGCAAAGCAGCACAGATATCCTTGTTCTGAGTGCCCAACAGACTCAAAAAATTACGGAAAGCGCATTTCAAATTTCCTTTCATCTTGACTGGCAGGCCAATCATGGCACGTACTCAAATCCTCAGCACTGTTTTGAAGACAGACTTAACTCGAGTTTAGTTTTGTCGGTGATGCAGGCTAATAAGTTCTAGATAATGATTAACATTAAAGAAGAAAAAAATACTTAACCTATCTTGATAAACATCGACCGAGGGCACGTTCCATTTTTAATCTAACCTCCCCGCCCCCCCTTCTCACCTTCCCCCAATGCATGAGGTATTTCAGTGCAGATGTTTCTTTCCCAGACCGATAGGATATCTTCACTCTATCTTATCACCTTGCCTGTAGGAATATACTATAGAGATTAACAGTTTGCACATCCGTTTCTTTGACCAGTAGGAATCTGCACCATTATTTACGCGGCCGGTAGGAATCGGTTATTATTGTCCTTACGAGACTTTAAGTGTAGTAATCGGTCTAGGAATCGGTTTTTTTTGCCCATGCTCGACTTGTAGGAATCGGTTATTTTTCCATGCCTGACTTGTAGGAATCAGTCATTTTGTCCATACTCGACTGGTAGTCCGTTCATCCATAGCAGTCTATAGGGGGAATCGGATTAAGAATGGAACGGCCCGAATCATCTCATCTGACACTTAAAACTTAAGCTTAAGCTTACTTGAAGGCTCCACTTAGCAAAGAAGCCACCATGTAATACACGAGGAAAAACAAAGGCAGTGCAATGCAAAGGTTGCAGCAAATAACCTGAAAAGATAACAACATAGTATAAAGCTTTAAGTTCTAAAGACCATACATTTATAGGATAAAATTGCTTTCCATACCCGAGTGTCTTCCGCCATGTTTACTGAACCTTTCAGAATGAAGTATGCGTGCGCACAAGGTGCATTCTGGTGAGGTTACCCACAGGTCAACCAAGGTTTGAAGAGTCTCACGATTTACCCGCCAATACACTGTCGTTTCAGTAAAGAATTAATTATTCGTTCTCTTGTGAACTGATTGAACCAGATATACATAGAACACAAGCGAATTCAATAGTTTTTTTTCAAACTGTGCTAATCTGCTCAGCTGGAAAAATCTGAGAATCTATGCTATTGAGGCAACATAGTAAAGCTCTTAAGAGCAAAAGTTGAACTTGGGAGAATAAAAGACGATGCGAATTTATAAGAAATTGTATAGGTAATAGCATGATTTGTAGTGATATTTGGCATAAATACCACGAGTGATATTTCAAAATTGTTATACGTAATTTCACGAGCCGTTAGGCCAGTGAAATTTGAGACAATTTTGAAATATCACAAGTGGTATTTATGCCAAATATCACGTTCAAATCATGCTATTACTGTATTTGTTTATACTACTACCCACAAAAGGTTATTAATTTTCACATGTAGGTATTTCAAATTGAGCTGAAATACCACTGTTCTAAGCCAATCAAATTGCAGAAATTTCTCGTGTAGTAGTATAAACAAAAAAAAATTTACACAAAGTTACAAGATAGTGACATATTTTATTAAAATAACAGATAAATTTACAATTTACACTTGGAAAATAATTACTCAAAAAATTTATAGAGGAAAAAAAATTAATTGGTATTATTCCAAAAGTTTCCAAGTGAGATTGTATTTTAAAATAACCTGAGTATCAGGCCTTCCTTCCATCTTTCCCCTTTTCCCCAGAAACGCCTGATACTCAGGCTAGTTCTGAAAAGAATGCAAATACGGAAGAATTATATGGAGTAACCAGTTTTGGGGTTTCATAGTATTTTGTGTTCATTAATTGACTGAATCGGTCTTTTAATGTCGTTTGATTAATAAGATACACCCGCAATAAGATTGATCGCCGTAGCACGCACATAAACGGGAACAAAGATGATTTTCAGAGTATAAGAGAAATGGAGTGCAATCGCGAATACTAAAAGAAAACATTTCTGTTTCCACCTTCAACTTACCCCTAATTTTCTCTGGCATTCTGCACTTCCGATCAGGCAAATTTGAAAGAAAACAAATTCATCAGTTTTCTTCTCTTTCTCTTTCTTATGACCTGCTGAATTTAGAGTTTAATATATTCTCACATTTGTCAAGCTTAAGACGAAGAACTTGACGTTTCCAAATCTCAATTCATCAAATGTTCAGTAATCCTTCAGAATGATCAAAATTTTACGTATTAAAATGTTCGTTTTATGATATGTGTTTTGACTGTATCGTGTTATATGATCATGGTACTATACTATATTGTCGATCTTGTGATTTATTGTAACTACTTTGACTTTTTTTTCAGTGACGAGTTGCGTTGCGTAAAATTTTATCTCAATTCGGAGCTGATTCTGGTTTTGATTCTGATAATAAACACAAAGGAATTGGCAGGAAATTTACTCATGCTATAACGCCCATTTAAAAGACATTCAAATTAACGCGAACAAAAGAAATAACAAATAAGAAAACTATATTGTATCGTTTGTGCCCTTACAAATGCAAAGCACGCAAAACCCCAACTCGTGAGGAACGAGAGGAGACCTTGTGAGGAACGAGTGAAGATCTCGTGAGAAACGAGTGGAGACCTCTCGTTCTTGAGGCGTAAGCTAGAGTAACAGAGAGGTAATCTAGAGGCGTGTGTCTCATTCAATACTTTCTACAACCGGTGGCTCACTGAACTCAACTCCCGCCGGAGCATTGCGCAGATAAGTACTACAGCCTTATAACATCGCTTAGGAAGCTAATCAGAAGCGAAATAAGCAATACTGACGTCCTGCTGCCTTGAAGAGTCGGTTTCGCTAACTTGGCCTCTTGTTCGTCTGTTCCGCGTTGAATAGAGTACTGCGGGTCTCTTCGAGTTCAGCGAAATCAAAAAAAGCTCTGTTTCTCTCTTCTTCGGGATTGAATCAACAGAAAACCTCCCTTGGGTGGGACGTAAGTGAAATGCAAGGAATTTTAGTGATTATTCAGCTCTATTTCACTGCTGCGACTTTGGCGAGCACTGGCCTGCGCTTTTCAACGAAAGATCCAGCGGCCTTTGCTAGATTCAAAAGATGGAATGCTAAGACAAACGGCACGCTTCAATTCCATTTCAAAACGCACAAGGAAAATAGCTTCCTCATCTATGAGGACGACAATGGGCAATGTCAGTTTTTTTATCTGTCTCTGCTGGAGGGAAGACTCTAAACTCTTCTTGTTGGACATAAACTCGCCGACGGAAAATGGCACGAAGTAATTGTCCAAAGAAACTTCTCTGAAACGCGTGTAACAGTGGATGGCCTTTTCACCAACAGCACATACTACAGGGGAATTGATCAGTTTTTTAGAGTTAAAAGTGACTTATATGTTGGTGGTATTTCGTCTTACACACAGTTCAAAGATCTTTCTTTCCCAGCTATAAAGTACGAAAGTATTGTGAACAGGTGAGATTATCACGAGCAAATTGCGAATGAAAGTTTGCATAACGCGATTTTGTCTATTTTTAACATTTTTAGACCCTTCAAAATTTATTTAATCTTTACACCTATTTGTAAAAGAATTTTTCGCAATAAGGTTTAAAAACAAAAATGATCATTTGGGAAAAAAAAAGTGATGTTTAGTAAACAACAGCTGCATCGAAATCTTCTCAAACAGCCAAATCAGTTGAATTAGTTTTTTCTTTACTTCTTTTTAATGAGGAAGGGGATACGCCATTAATTAACGCAAAACAAGGCGATCAAAAATCTGACATGTTTCTATCAACCCACGCACAGATAGTTAATTCAGTCAACGTTGTTGCCTTTCAGAGTTTAATGTGCAAATCATCATTTTTTCTTCTTAGAAAGAATCAAAGGCATTCCACAGGAAAGTACGCATACATTATTTATTTTTGGAAATGAAATCCAGCTTCCCTGATGAATAATGCATTGTTCTTCTTCAAAAACTCCTTGATGAATGGAAAATAAAGGCTTAAAAAAAAATTGTTCATCTTAAAGACATTCTATCTTCACGTTTTTCATAAAGGATGGCCAGAACTAACCAGAGTCCAGGCAATTGCTAAAAGATTTCATTGTAAAGACTTGATTTTTAGAGTGAACAGAGTGTACAAAGAGTTTGTACCCCCGCTTTATTTAATTCACTGCTTTTTTCCCCACAGTTTTAAGGGCTGCATAAGCGGGATCACATATAGTAATGGAAGGAGTCCTTTCAGAGAAGCACAGTTGAAAGAAGCTTCTGGAACAACGCAAGGTTGTTTGGATCCTTGCTCGCAACCTGATCAGTGCTTAAATGGCGGCAAATGTCATGAGAACGTCAGTGGAGTGTGGTGTGATTGCAAGGGAACTGGGTACGAGGGACAAAAATGCGAAGAAGGTAGGTAACAGTCTTCCCCGGTCTAGATTTAAGCGAAATAAATTGAAATAAGTCAGATAACCTTCAATTTTTAAAACTTTTCCTTATTGGAAGCTAATTAGTGGCATTAGAGTTTTTAAACCAAAGACTGAAACCTGGTACCCTTCACAAAATTAACACGAGGTTGTCTTGTGGGTCAATCCATATCACAGAGAAAATTCAAGCCAAATTAGGCGACAGACGGATCGCAGTGTTCATTAAACATACGAACTCAATTAAAAAATAAAGATGTAAAAGTTATTTTTTTGAAAATTTCGATTGTCAGCTGTGCTTCTCGGACAGTTCAGTTATCATTTAAAGTTTAAATAATGCTATTTTATTCCCCCGTTGTCTTTTTTCTGAGTCATAATTACAAAGCAATCTTTTATAAACATGATTATTCCTGTCTTGGTCTGCAAAGATGCAAAGCTTTTCCTCCTGATTATTTGAGAAAAAACAATGGAGATTTCGAATAAATATTTAAAAGTGATTTTTACTCGATGTTTAGCAAATCCTAATCAGTTCATAGGAAAAGTTGAAAGGCGTTTCCTCCGACAGATAAGAAACCACAAACCACGTGGTTGGTTTCTTCTCAGACCTCAAGTGACAGTTTAAGCTAACCTTGGCTAATATCCTTGTAATCTAGCGCTAACAACAATCAAGTTTTCATTTCTTTTCCAAACGATGTTGAAAGTAAAAACGTGACCTAAGAATTTAAGAATCGAAACTTCATGAGCCTAAATTAAACTTTCAGGTTTCCTTGTAAGATTGACAAAAAATGTGCAATTAGTTTATTGTACTGAAACGTTTAGTTTTCATTAAATAATATGACATCACTTTCAGCGTTCGATTCATAATCGGAGACTTGCAAGAGATCTTTTGTCGCCATCAACTATAACAGCCGCATTCAGTTATATTTTCATATGAAATTATTCAAGTTCATTATCGTTCTTTTTGTTATGATTACAATACTTTTCGTGGCTAGTTATTGAGTCTACAAACACGACTACGCTGTTCCAGCTTGTTTCAGTGCTCAAGCTAATCACTGATTTGTGACCCAATTATTAGTTCGCCTGATAGAAAAAGTCCGTCAAAAAGAACAAAAATCTGCTCCACGTGGCTAGTTTCCGTTTTTGTCTTTTGTGGGATTATTTTTTCTTTTCTTTTCTTTTTTTTTTTTTTTGATTGACCAGTTGATGTCTATGTAAAACGGAACCAAGTTGTCCATTACTTTTAGGGCCTGTTGACACTACTTGAGCCAATCCGGTTAGTCGGGCTGGCCCTCTTTATCAGGCTGGCTTGGGTTATTTTTCCTTGTAAAATTGTCGTTGTAATCATATATATGGGGAGAACGTCAAGATCGCTCCGGCCAGCCCTGTAAAGCGGAGTAGACGGGCGTTTTTTAGACAGGTCCGTCCAGACTCTTGACGGCAACATTTCAATTATTGTTGTTCACAAGAGATAAAAGTCTGAGCAAGAGTGGGTAACAAAAACATTGGTAAGGTTTGGGGTTAAAGAAGAGGGGTGCTTAACCCAATAATCATGAAATCAAATTTAAAAAATTGAAATAATGAAGAACATTTGCTTTATAATTTTAGAGGCGGCATCTATTTTGCTGAATGGAAGTGGTTACATAGTCTTTACCCTGGACCCCAAAGAGGAGAAGTCACATTCAACTAACACTTACGTGGCGTTTAGTCTGAGGACAAAAACCCCAGACGGAGTTATTTTCAGTCTCCGGTTGTCTGATATATATCTGTTAATAGAGATGGTCCATGGAAATCTGAGAGTAGAGTATTTGAACTTAGGACAAGGTAAGGTAAATATGGATTGAATAATCCCCGTTTTTGTCCTCAATGGTGTTGGTAAGGTTTGTCCTTGTTTTGTGCTAGTTAGAACCTTTGCTAGCTGATATGCCTTCTTGTCATTGTTCTTAAATATTCACAAACTCCTATTTCTCGTCGGGCGAGTGCTTCCATTTCAAGCTCAAATGGGGGTATCTTTATTTAAGGATCAGATTACGTTATGACGGATGCCTTTATAATACGAGCAGCAAGCCCTGTAACCTGGTCAGTAGAAGTGAAAATCACGTATGAAAAACCTCCCAAAATAGTATCGAGGGGTGAGACGATGAATGTTCCTATTCATAATAGGCTCGATTACTAAGAGCCTGCTGTTTGGTCCAAGTCAGTGGTAACAAAACAAATGGGAAACTATAAATTATTTACATTACGACTACTCGAACCGGGGCACTTGAAAGAAGATTGTCCAATTACAGCGATTTCTGAAAACAAAAGATTATCAATTTCTGTTGCCCCCCGAAAATTTTCCATTCGAAAGACCCAAAAATTCGTGTTCCATTTACTTCCAAACCGGATTTTCCGCAAACATTTTATAATTGGTAAACAACCTCTATTACATCTCCTATGTCCTTTGCCCCTTTGCTGTCTTGCTCAGTTAGGTTTGCTCTATGCAATCTACTTAGTTACTCTTGAGTGAAAAAGTCTTGAATATCGTTGTGAATTTACAATTTTTCTTGTAAAATCTGTCGTTCAAAAATGTTTTCTAATGAACTTTTAGTCTGAATTTTTTTGGATAGCATTCTGTTTTCACTCGGGCCTAAATAACTTTTGTTTTAAAATATGCTTATAATCAGTCGTCTGTTTTTCTCACCTGAGTGCTGGCGAATGATTTCTGAATTATACATCTCACTTCACGGTCGATTCTTTGACTTCTTTGGTAGCCCGAGCTTGTTTTTACCTTTTCTTGCTTAGTGTGTATGTTTTCCCCTCATTTTTTTTTGGACTATCTTAATATAAGCTTCATATCTTCTTATATTAAAGCAAAGCAATTTTAAGTTAAAACTCATAAGCTCTGGTGCTTGTTACATTATAACTGAAATCATTTTGCGTTTATAATTTAAAACGGTGTAAAGTTAACATTTTTTGGCTCCTGCACATAAACTTAAGTTAAGAGTAAAATGAAAGTTAAATAGATTTGTAAATTCCCTTCCTGTGGGATCGTTTCTTGTTTCAGGTAAACGATTCAGCTTAAATGGACGCTCCACTTGTATGTTTACCAGAGTTTATATATTTATTTATTTAAACAATTTAAATATGTTCATTTGTCGCCTTTTTAGAAACCAGAAGGAACTGGGACGAGTTAACTTTCTTAAAGACTTCTTGGATCGCTACCGGGGACACGCTATTCAGCTATTGGCCAATTTGATTGCCCTGTGCTTAGTAACAATCCCAGAAGTCTTTGAGAAAGTTAACTTGTCCCAGTTTCTGCTCGTTTCTAAAGTGTACATGGAAATAAAATTCTTTCCTTTTGTCTCTAGATGAGCTGGTTTTCAATGGAAATAATGTACACCTTGATGACAGCAGGTGGCATTGGATCGAGTTTAACAAAATTGGTCCCGCAGTCACGTTAAAAGTCGACGGAAAAACTTTCCCTAATGTCAAAATTCCAGGAAAGAGTTTTCAACTAAACGTCGAGGACCAGAGGAATAGAGCGTATTTGGGTGGCGGACCAACAGGAGCCATCAAAACATCGCACACAAAAATGAATTTCTCCGGACTGTTAAGAGAGTTTTACTATGGAGACATGGAGCTGTTGGACTATGTTGTACCTACGACAAAAAGCCAACAATTTGAGATAGTTGGGACGGTTATTAATAGTGCCACAATGATAGAGACAAGTGGGTCGGGATGTGATCCATTTGATGATGATGAGGATTCAAGCTGTGCGCCACCTGATTCGTCAACTCATTCGACAGGTAGGTTATACAGTGGAACTCAACTCTACGGACAACCGCATATAATGAAAACTTTCGTTTGTCCCGAAGATAAACTCATATATTCTCTCTAAAATTAACCCACTAAGTACTGACACCAGTTAATATGGACAACGAACACTTTTCTATGTCACGAGTCACATAATCGCATACTTCGTCAATCTCTCTTTACGGACACTAAGTGCCTGCGCACTGACCATGACTGAATAACTTACCAGTGAAAACCTAACACGCAGAAACAGCGAATGACCTTTCAAACGTTCTATATAGTGTTCACTCCACCTGGCTGAGTCGCCAACTAAAAGTTCCAGTGCAAAGTTAAGTCATGGAATTGTTGTATTTCAAGACAAATACTTGAAAGGCAGTTTTAGTCCGAGAAAATCACGATAGATGGTGGTGGGGTTTCAACTCGTAAATGTTAAGGACAAAACAACTTTCCCTCTTAAAAATGTCTGCTTTAGTGTTTAACATTAATATTTTTTCTGTTTTTCCAAGATGATATGATGTCGTCAACAAGTGAACCAACTTCGGATTCAGACTACCCTCCTACTGTTGCTCAGGCCTAATACAATATTGATAAAAATTCCTACCAGCACAAACACAGCAAGATGAAAAAGGCCTACTGTTATAGCATAATCCCATAGATTTTTTCTTAAAAATATTATGTAGACCACAGTGGTGATGATGTATGTCAACGATAAGGATAAAAGTGTTACTAGAAAGAAAGAAACAGAAAAAAAGGTTAAAGTGAAGAAATCATATTATCAACAGCTAAACAGTATATTATCATCTTGTAACAAGAAGTATAGAATGGTAACTCCCTAAACGTGTGCCTTTGAAAATTTTGGCCCGATCTTGAAATCTCGGAAATGTTTTTGATGGGTCTTGAAGTCTCGTTTTCGGATGATTTTTGCATCTCAGAGTGTCAAATTGTTTTACCAAGGGGTTTTAAAGTCTTGACTTTTTTTCCGCTTGGTCTTCAAGGGTCGAACGTAGTAGATTAAGGGATTTTGCTAGCTGCCATTAACGTTTTCAGTTTTTCCATTTGGTTTTATTTGCACCATTACCATGAAATTTTCGTCGCTCAGAGTTTTGGCCTCGGATTTGATAAAAACACTATAGTCTTGGTCTCGAATTTTGAAATGGGGGTCTCGCAGTCTCGAAAAGTCTCAAATTTACTATTCTACACCCTTATAGCAGTCGGATATCAACAAATGTAACCACTTAACTTACTTAAATGCTTATTATGTGTTACACTGCAACAATTTTTGAAATCAAAAGGAGTCTTGCCATCAAAGTCATTTATTCTGTTTAGAAAACAATAATGACAAAAAGAAAAGCATATTATACCACATCTAGTTGTAAATTCAAAGGTGAGTCTATTAAAAATAATATTCTTTGTTTAAAGTTCAAGTCATTAGTTCATTTCCAGTAATTTTAGAGGGGGTAACCTAAGAGGGGGTCATCTACCAGTAGGGGGACAAAGAGGGGTAAAGGATTCCCAGTGGAATTGACAAAGAATTTTGACAAAAAGTCCAAACTGTCTAATAACTTCTGGCCTGTGTTGTAGACGTAATTTTACCTCAGTTAGTGTCGTCTGCAAAGCAGCACCGATATCCTTGTTCTGAGTGCCCCACAGACTCAAAAAATTACTGGAAGCACATTTCAAATTTCCTTTCATCTTGACTGGCAGGCGAATCATGGCACGTACTCAAATCCTCAGCACTGTTTTAAAGACAGACTTAACTCGAGTTTAGTTTCGTCTGTGATGCAGGCTAATAAGTTCTCTGAGATGATGATTAACATTAAAGAAGAAAAAAATACTTAACCTATCTTGATAAATATCGACGGAGGGCACGTTCCATTTTTAATCTAACCCTCCCCCTCTCACCTCCCCCCAAAGCATGAGGTATTTCAGTGCAGATGTTTCTTTCCCAAACCGATAGGAATCTTCACTCTATCTTATCACCTTGCCTGTAGGAATATACTATAGAGATTAACAGTTTGCATATCCGTTTCTTTGACCAGTAGGAATCGGTCATTTGTCCTTACGAGACCTTTAGTGTAGTGATCGGTCAATTGTAGGAATCGGTTTTTTTTTTTGCCCATGCTCGACTTGTAGGAATCGGTTATTTTTCCACGCCTGACTTGTAGGAATCAGTCTCGAAAGGTAGTCCACTCATCCATAGGGGGGATCGGATTAAGAATGGAACGTCCAAATCATCTCATCTGACACTTAAAACTTTATAAGCTTAAGCTTACTTGAAGGCTCCACTTAGCAAAGAAGCCACCATGTAATACACGAGGAAAAACAAAGGCAGTGCAATGCAAAGGTTGCAGCAAATAACCTGAAAAGATAACAACAAAGTATAAAGCTTTAAGTTCTAAAGACCATACATTTATAGGATAAAATTGCTTTCCATACCCGAGTGTCTTCCGCCATGTTTACTGAACCTTTCAGAATAAAATATGCGTGCGCATGAGGTGCATTCGGGTGAGGTTACCCACAGGCAAACCAAGGTTTAAAGAGTCTCACGATTTACCCGCCAATACACTGTCATTTCAGTAAAGAATTAATTATTCGTTTTCTTGTGAACTGATTGAACAAGATACCGTAACATTCCGAAAATAAGCCTTTCCATGTATAAGCCCCTCCGAATATAAGCCCCCCAAAATCGTAACGCTAATAACTCTCCGTTAAATCGCCCCTCCAAATATAAGCCCCCCCGGGGGCTTGTACTTGAAATTTGCCCTCGAATACAAAGTAAAACAAAGCAAACATGGTAAATTTCCTTTCCACTACAAGCTACCTTAATCGATTTTGAAACACAAATTTCCCTCCGTGCATAGGACCCTCCGAATATAAGCCCCTCCAAAAATAAGCCCTTCAAAAAGGGCCTTTGAAAAATATAAGCCCCTGGGCTTATTTTCGGAATTTTACGGTATACATGGAACACAAGCGAATTCAATAGTTTTTTCAAACTGTGCTGATATGCTCAGCTGGAAAAATCTGAGAGTATATGCAACAGAGACAACATCTAGTGAAATTCAAACGCTCCCGGACTTGGTTAAGACCATGGATCCATGTTAAGACTTAGAAGCAAAAGTTGAACTTGGGAGATCAACAGACGATGCGAACTTGCAAGAATTTACCAAAAAAATTCACACGAAGGTACAAGATAGTGACATATTGCATTAAAATAACAGATAAATTTACAATTTACACTTAAAAAAATTATTCCTAAAAAAAATTCATAGAGGAAAACGAAAAAATTTAATCGGCATTATTCCAGGAGTCTCTAAGTGAGATTGTTCTGAATAGAATGTAAATTCGGAAGAATTATATGGAGTAATCAGTTTTGGGTTTCGTAGTATTTTGTACTCATTAATTGACTGAATCGGCCTTTTAATGTTGTTTAATTAATAAGATACACCCGCAATGAGATTTATCTCCGTAGCACGCACATAAACGGAAACAAAGATGATTTTCAGAGTATCCGAGAAAAGGAGTGTAATCATGAGTACTAAAAGAAAAAATTTCTGTTTCCAGCGTCAATTACCCTTAATTTTCTCTAGCATTCTGCACTTCCGGTCAGGCAAATTTGAAAGAAGACGAATTTATCAGTTTTCTTCTCTTCGTTTTTTTTATTTGTGTCCTGACCTGCTGAATTTAGAGTTTAATATATTCTCACACTTGTCAAGCTTAAGACGAAGAACTTGACGTTTCCACTTTCAAAAAATCTCAGTTCATCAAATTTTCAGTAATCCTTCAGAATGATCAAAATTTTACGTATTAAAATGTTCTTTTTATGGTATGGGTTTTGACTGTATCGTGTTATAAGATCATGGTATGATACTTTATTGTCGATGTTGTGATTTATTGTAACTACTTTGAATTTTTTTTCAGTGACGAGTTGCGTTGCGTAAAATTTTATCTCAGTTCGGAGCTGATTCTGGTTTTGATTCTGATAATAAACACAAAGAAATTGGCACGGAATTTACTCATGCTATAACGCCCATTTAAAAGACATTAAAATTAACACGAACAAAAGAAATAGTAAATAAGAAAACTATCTTGCATCGTTTGTGCCATTACACATGCAAAGTACGCAAAACCCCAACTCGTAAAGAACGAGTCCGTGAAGACCTCTCATTGTTGTGGCGTAAGCTAGAGTAACAAGGAGGTAATCTGGAGGCGTGTGTCTCATTCAATACTTTCTACAACCGGTGGCTCACTGAACTCAACTCCCGCCGCAGCATTGCGCAGATAAGTACTACAGCCTGATAACATCGCTTAGCAAGCCAATCAGAAGCGAAGTAAGCAATACTGGCTTGTAGTGACGTCCTGTCGCCTTGAAGAGTCGGTTTCGTTAACTTGGCCTCTTGCTCCTCTGTTCGTGATGTATAGTAGTGCGGGTCTGTTCGAGTTCAGCGAAACCAAAAACAGCTCTGTTTCTCTCTGTTTTGAGATTGAATTAACATGAAACCTCCCTTGGGTGGGACGTAAGTGAAATGCAAGGAATTTTAGTGATTATTCAGCTCTATTTTACTGCTGCGACTTTGGCGAGCACTGGCCTTCGCTTTTCAACGAAAGATCCAGCGGCCTTTGCTAGATTCAAGGGATGGAATGCTAAGACAAACGGCACGCTTCAATTCCATTTCAAAACGCACAAGGAAAATAGCTTCCTCATCTATGAGGACGACAATGGGCAATGTCAGTTTTTTTATCTGTCTCTGCTGGAGGGAAGACTCTAAACTCTTCTTGTTGGACATAAACTCGCCGACGGAAAATGGCACGAAGTAATTGTCCAAAGAAACTTCTCTGAAACGCGTGTAACAGTGGATGGCCTTTTCACCAACAGCACATACTACAGGGGAATTGATGATAATCCTTTTCTTGGAGTTAAAAGTGACTTATATGTTGGTGGTATTTCGTCTTACACACAGTTCAATGACCTTTCTTTCCCAGCCATAAAGTACGAAAGTATTTCGAGCAGGTAAGATTTTCACGAGCTAATTGTAAATGAAAGTTTGCATAACGCATTTTTGGACCCTTTATTTATTGTAAAAGAATTTTTCGCAATAAGGTTTAAAAACAAAAATGATCATTTGGAAAAATACGAAGTGATGTTTAGTAAACAACAGCTGCATGGAAATCTTCTCAAACAGCCAAATCAGTTGAATTAGTTTCTTTCTTTACTTTTTTTTAAGGAGGAAGGGGATACGCCATTAATTAACGCAAAACAAGGCGATCAAAAATCTGACATGTTTCTATCAACCCACGCACTGTTAGTTAATTCAGTCAAGGTCGTTGCTTTTCAGTTTAATGTGCAAATCATCATTTTTCTTCTTCGAAAGAATTAATAAATTCATTCCACAGGAAAGGCCGTATAAATTATTTAGTTTTGGAAATGAAATCCAGCCTCCCTGATGAATAATGTATTGTTCTTCTGCGAAAATTCCTTGATGAAAGGAAAATAAAGGCTCAAGAAAGATTGTTTATGTTGAAGACATTCTATCTTCACGTTTTTCATAAAGGATGACCAAAACTAACCAAAGTCCAAGCAATTGCTAAAAGATTTCATCTTAAAGACTTGTTTTTTAGAGCAAACAGAGTGTACAGAGAGTTTGTACGCTCGCTATATTTTCACTGCTTTTTTCCCCACAAGTTTTCAGGGCTGCATAAGCGGGATCACATACAGTAATGGAAGGAGTCCTTTGAGAGAAGCACAGTTTAAAGAAGCTTCTGGGACAACGCAAGGTTGTTTGGATCCTTGCTCGCAACCTGATCGGTGCTTAAATGGCGGCAAATGTCATGAGAACGTCAGTGGAGTGTGGTGTGATTGCAAGGGAACTGGGTACGAGGGACAAAAATGCGAAGAAGGTAGGTACCAGTCTTCCGCGGTCTAGATATAAGCGAAGTAAATTGAGATAAGTCAGATAACCTTCAATTTTTAAAACTTTTCCTTATTGGAAGCTAATTAGTGGCATTCGGGTTTTTAAACCAAAGACTAAAACTTGATACCCTTCACAAAATTAACATGAGGTTGTTTCGTGGCTCAATCCATATCACAGAGAAAATTCAAGCCAAATTAGGCGACAGACGGATCGCAGTGTTCATTAAATATGCGAGCTCAATTCAAAAATGTAAAAGTCATTTTTATGAAAATTTCGATTGTCAGCTGTGCTTCTCGGCCAGTTCAGTTATCATTCAAAGTTTAAATAATGCTATTTTATTCCCCCGTTGTCTTTTTTCTGAGTCATCATTACAAAGGAATCTTTTATAAACATGATTATTCCTGTCTTGGTCTGCAAAGATGCAAAGCTTTTCCTCCTGATTATCTGAGAAAGAACAATAGAGATTTCGAATTTATATTTCAAAGTGATTTTACTCGTTGTTTAGCAAATCCTAATCAGTTCATAACAAGAAAAGTTCACTTTGAATAGAAAGGCGTTTCCTCCGACAGATGAGAAACCACAAACCACGTGGTTGGTTTCTTCTCAGACCTCAGATGACAGTTTAAGCTAACCTTGGCTAATATCCTTGTAATCTAGCGCTAACAACAATCAAGTTTTCATTTCTTTTCCAAACGATATTGAAAGAAAAAACGTGACCTAAGAATTCAAGAATAGAAACTTCATGGGCCTAAATTAAACAGGTTTCCTTGTAAGATTGACAAAAAATGACCTATTAGTTTATTGTACTGAAAAGTTTATCGAAGTTTTCATAATATGAAATCACCTTCAGCGTTCGATTCACAATCGGAGACTTGCAAGAGATCTTTTATCGCCATCAACTATAACAGCATTCAGTTATATTTTCATATGAAATTATTCAAGTTCATTATCGTTCTTTTTGTTATGATTACAACACTTTTCGTGGCTAGTTATTGAGTCTACAAATACGACTACGCTGTTCCAGCCTATGTTTCATTTCTCAAGCTGATCACTGATTTGTGACCTAATTATTAGACCGCCTGATAGACAAAGTCCGTCAAAAAGAGGAAAAAAAACCTGGTCCACGCGGCTAGATTTCGCTTTTATCTTTTGTGGGATTATTTTTTCTTTTCTTGTCTTTTGTTTTTTTTTTTTGATTGACCAGTTGATGTCTATGTAAAATGGAACCAAGTTTTCCATTACTTTTAGGGCCTGTTGACACTACTTGAGCCAATCCGGTTAGTCGGCCGGCCCTCTGTATCAGGCTAGCTTGGGTTACTTTTTCCTTATAAAATTGTCGTTGTAATTATATATATGAGAAGAACCTCAAGAACGCACCGGCCAGCCCTGTAAAGCGGGGCAGACGGGCGTGTTTTAGACAGGCCCTTACAGACTCTTGATGGCAACATTTCAATTATTGTTGTTCAAAGAGATAAAAGTCTGAGCAAGAGTGGGTAACAAAAACATTGGTAAGCTTTGGGGTTGAAGAAGAGGGGTGCTTAACCCAATAATCATAAAATCAAAATAATAAAAAAAAATTGAAATAGTGAAGAACATTTGCTTTATAATTTTAGAGGCGGCATCTATTTGGCTGAATGGAAGTAGTTACATAGTCTTTACCCTGGACCCCAAAGAGGAGAAGTCACATTCAAATTACGTGGCGTTTAGTCTGAGGACAAAAACCCCAAACGGAGTTATTTTCAGTCTCCGATTGTCTGATAAATACCTGTTAATCGAGATGGTCCATGGAAAGTTGAGAGTAGAGGATTTGAACCTAGGACAAGGTAAATGTGGATTTAATAATCCCCGTTTTTGTCCTCAATGGTGTTGGTAAGGTTTCTTCTTGTTTCCTGCTAGTTAGAACTTTTGCTAGCTATATGTCTTCTTGCTATTGTTCTTAAATATTCCCAACGTCCTATTTCTCGTCAAACTCAAATAGGGGTATGTTTATTTGAGGAGCAGATTACGTTATGTTAGATGCCTTTATAATACGAGCAGCATGCCCTGTAACCTAGTCAGTGGAAGTGAACATCACGTACTGGAAGGACCTCCCAAAATAGTATCGAGCGGTGAGAAGATAAATGTCCCTGTTTATGATAGGCTCGATTACCAAGAGCCTGCTGTTTGGTCCAAGTCAGTGGTAACAAAATGAATGGGAAACCAGAAATTATTTACAGTGCGACAACTCGAACCGGGGCACTTGGAAGAAGATTGTCCAGTCACAACGATTTCTGAAAAGAAAAGACTCTCAAGTTTTTTGGCAACGGACCAATTAAATTCAAGGCCTTCGACTATGCAACCGTTGAAATCTTTAAGAGCCGGCGTTTGAACTAATCTGGCCTCTCAGGAAACAGTCCTCAAATATATGAACGTTATTGTCCCGCTTGCCTAAAACCTTGAGAATCTTTTGTTTTTAGAAATCTTTGTGATAGGACAATTTTCTTCCAAGTGCCCTGGTTCTGGTAGTCGCGCTGTAAGCAATATTTTTTCTAAGTAAGATTCTTTGTTTGTTTGTTTTTTTTGCATTAAGTTCTGTTTTCACTCAGATCTAAATAACTTTTGTTTAAAAATATGCTTATATTCGGTCGTCTGTTTTTCTGACTTAAGTGGTGGCGAATGATTTTCAGTTCTCGGTCGATTCTCTGGAAGCCCGAACTTTTTTTCACGTTTTAATGCTTAGTATGTATGTTTTCTCCTCGAATTTTTTTGTACTATCTTATAAGCTCCGAATCTTCTTATATTAAACCAAAGCAATTTTAACTTGAAACTAATAAGCTCTGGTGATTGTTGCATTATAACTGAAATTATTTCACGTCTACGATTTAAAGTGTAAAGATAAATTTTTTTGTCTCTTTGCACATAAAAAAAATGAAAGCTAAATAGATTTGTAAATTCCCTTGCTGTGGGATCGTGTCTTCTTTCAAGTTAACGATTGAGCTCAACATGTAGGTTTGCCTGAGTTTATGTGTATGTTCATTTGTCGCCACTTTAGAAACCGGGACGAGTTAGCTTTCTCAAAGACTTTCTGGGATCCCTACTGGGGACGCGCTATTCAGCTATTGGCCAATTTGATTGTCCTGTGCTTAATAGCAATCCTAGAAGTCTTTGAGAAAGTTAACTCGTCCCGGTTTGCTGCTCGTTGCTAAAGTGTACATGGAAATAAAATTCTTTCCCTTTGTCTCTAGATGAGCTTGTTTTCAATGGAAATAATGTAAACCTTGATGATGGCAGGTGGCATTGGATCGAGTTTAACAAGATTGGTCGCGCAGTCACGTTAAAAGTCGACGGAAAAACTTCACCTTATGATAAAATTACAGGAAAGAATTTTCAACTAAACAGTGAGGACCAGAGGAATAAAGCGTATTTGGGTGGCGGACCAACGGGAGCCATCAAAACATCGCACACAAAAAAGAATTTCTCCGGACAATTAAGAGAGTTTTACTACGGAGACATGGAGGTGTTGGAGTATGTTGTACCTACGATAAAAAGCAAACAATTTGCGATAGTTGGGACGGTTATTGATGGTACCACAATAATAGAGACAAGTGGGTCGGGATGTGATCCATTTGATGATGATGAGGATTCAAGCTGTGCGCCACCTGATCCGTCAACTCATTCGACAGGTAGGTTATACAGTGGAACTCAACTCTACGGACAACCGCATATAATGAAAACTTTCGTTTGTCCCGAAGATAAACTCATATATTCTCTCTAAAATTAACCCACTAAGTACTGACACCAGTTAATAGGGACAACGAACACTTTTCTATGTCACGAGTCACATAATCGCATACTTCGTCAACTTCTCTTTACGGACACTAAGTGTCTGCGCACGGACCATGACTGAATATCTTACCAGTGTAAACCTAACACGCAGAAACAGCGAATGACCTTTCAAACGTTCTATATAGTGTTCACTCCACCCGGCTGAGTCGCCAACTAAAAGCGCCAGTGCAAAGTTAAATCATTGCATTGTTGTATTTCAAGACAAATACTTGAAAGGTAGTGTTAGTCCGAGAAAATCATAATAGATGGTCGTGAGGTTTCAACTTGTAAAAGTTAAGGACAGAACAACTTTCCTCTTAAAAATGTCTGCTTTAGTCTTTAACATTGATATTTTTTTCTGTTTTTCCAAGATGATATGATGTCGTCAACAAGTCAACCAACTTTGGATTCAGACTACCCTCCTACCGTGGCTCAGGCCTACCTCTCCCTGCCGCAAGTGGTCCCATTTTGGGTAATTCTCTTGATGGTGATAGCAGCCGCGATCGCAATCTCTTTCACAGTCTTTTTCTTGTATCGCTGGAATACTCGGTACACCGGTTCTTTTAAACCAGAGCAAACTTCGTCAAGTGGAGATCTACCGCAGCATATTGCACAAGTGCTGAATAATTCGAAACCTCGAATTTATGTTAAATCACCTGACGAAAAAGTGTAACGGGGTTTTCAAAGCGTCATGGGTAGATAGCAACGATCACTATGACAACTAAGAGGGTGAGAAAACTCAACAGATCGCTTTATCTCTCGAGGAGTGATAGCTTTTTACAATAAAGGAAGAGTGTTATGTCATTCAATATATGGAGATGAAATGGATACCTTTAAGTGCTTCCTAAGAAGTGATCGATGCCGTGTAAATTTGGCGTTTGCAATTTACTGGTAGCGCATTGAGAGTGAAGACTTAAAATTTTGACTGAGTATTTTTTGCTCAGATTAAGGTTTCAGTGTGGTAATACTCACGACATGAATATTAAACCGCATGTATTAGCAGCAGTCTCTTTAAATGTATGTGCGCAGTTTGGTAAGGCGCATAGCTTATCTAGCTCACCTACAAACAGGATTGTAACTTGTGTGAACCAAGCTTTCAGGGGTTAAAGTCGCGTTAATGGCCAACAAATGTTTGGATCGCCTATAAAGATATGGATGAGTTCAGCCTTTAAAGCAACATTGACGAGCGACTTTGTCTGAAACTGCCCGCCAGTCTGCTGAAAACGTATAACACGTTAATAAACTGTGATGTTTTCCTACGAAACCATATTTAAGAAACTATTTCTCAATATTCAGATGCATATGATATTAAGAACTCAAAGCTAGATTCCCTGGTAAAAGAAAACGCCAGAGGGCTCAATACTTCTGCAAAATCAGATAACTCAGGGTGACCTAAAGATTGACTCCAAATTGAGCGAGGCGCCTTAGTTATTCGCACTGTTTCATTAGAGGTCAAAGATGGTTCTGCGTTACCATTTTACTGTGTGGAAGCGTCCGATCACCAGAAGTCAAAGTTGTTTTTCCTTAAGAAAACGATAACTGAAAGACAACTTAAGCCTAGGCCAAACGTCGAACTTTTCATGAGACGAACCAAACTGTAATTTAGGTCGACCTAAATTAAGGTAAGATCGTCTGTTGGGTCAGACGTCGAACTTAGGATGCGTCGAGCCAATTAACCGAATCAGACCAAATAGCAATTTTAATAAATTTTCTCCCGAACGAGGCTAAATTTACATTATCATTCAAATTTTTAAGTTACTAGGTTTAGTTCGTCGCATGTGAAGATCGACGTTTGTCACGGAGACGATCTTCAGACGTTTTATCCTTCTGAAGCAGACGGATAGAACGTCCTGGACGATCCAAACTCATTCAGACGAACTTGACTGAGCCAGACGTCGAACCTTTCATAAACTTAACGTCTTATGAAAAGTTCGTCGTTTGGCCTACCCCTTACATCTAATTGTTAGTAGTATAGAGCTCGGTGGTAAGACGCTTTTGTTGAGCGGGAATAACATTAATTTGAGGGGGAATAAGTTAACGTCGATAACTCTGTAAAAAAGTAACTTGTTAAGATAGGATGACGTCATAGTTTTTAATTGGCTAACTGGAGCGGTGTTTATTGAAAATTGTTAGGTTTTCCTAAAGCAGTTTGGTTGGTTACTAAGCGTAAACCCGTATATAACTTTAAAATCACCTAACCGTAACGTGATTATGCAAGTTTCATTTCATACAACTTAAAAATGGAACATAACATCACCCTGTCTCAAAAAAAAACGTTTACTTATGACGTCACCCACGGTAATATACCCCCCCAAGTTTTCTCCTTAATAAAGGACCAAACCGGTGCGCCCTATACTACTAAAGAAAGAAATCACAAAAAAGACAGAAAATTATCTTGACGATCGTTTGGTGTCGCGCGCAGTGAAAAATTGTTGCATGTTTGTAAGTTGTGCAACATTTGACATCTTCATCATGACCGTTCACATGCACTATTTTGTCATATACCATCAAAATTAGTTATCTGCTTTTTCACTTAAATTATGATTTTTTTTTACTAATTTAGTATTTTGTTGTCCATGGTTATTTCTGAGATTTGTGAGTACATGGGCCCTATTTAACATTCGCACTGGGTGCAAGTCTTTGGCCTTTGGAGATATGAGCCACTCATTTGGGTCACGAAGTTTCGTAAAAATCAATATGCAACCAAGTTCACTTTTAAGTCAAGTAGTTTTTTTACTTCAGTTGAAAACTGGCTTTTATACTCTCAGCTTAATTAGCCCGCAAATTTTTAATAAGAGTGGTCATCAAGGTGCTTTTGATTGTAAAGCGAATATTAACGCTTTTAAAAAGTTTTTAGAATTGTGATGTAGAAAGATATTAAGTAAAACATTGGTTTTTAGTGGATAACGAGAACTAAGAATATTTCCCGCGTGATTGGTTAAAACTGGTAACAATTATCCAACAATCGAATCTTCAGTAACTTAGCTAAATTAATGTGACACACGATTTGGCCAAGGAGTAGAATTAGACGGTTATGGATCTCACCTCTTCTTGTAAGTTCCTCATAAACCACAAACAGACCCAGGTAGCTGTCAGCTGTTAACAATTATTAATTATTATTAATTAGTATTGTTATTGTTATTCTTTGACAAAAACTGTAAGAGTAGGCCTAGTTTGGATTCCGAACTTTTCAGAAACCGAACCTAATTTCTATAATAGACTTTTCAACGGTTTTTTCAACTTTTGACTGGGATCGGTAAGCAAAAATCCGTCAACATGGCTGGAAAGTTGCCAAGTTTAAATTTCAAAGTGATTTGTTGAAACATAAAGAAGAATTATAGCTCCTCAAAGTCGCAGAATTTTACAGACGTTTATGCGAGGGGGTGGGGGGGGGGGGGGGGGGGGAAGGATGGGGAAGTTTGGGGGAAAAAGGTTTTCCTCTTTTGTGGGGGTTTCACTTTTATTTTTTTTAAGGATCTTTTTTTTTGTGCCCCTTTTCCGCGTGAGCTTATAATTTTTTTTTTATTTGTTTTTNTCTCCCCGGAAAACGTAGTGAGGGAGGAGGGAGCCTCTCGCCTCCCCCCTTGTAATTCTCTTGTTCCCAAGCAACAATACCAAACTTCATTCAATCGCTACATCTAAGGTAAGGACATCTCTTAGGGTCTTTTTACATGGAGGTGGGGGACCCCAGGTAGGTGAGGTAACATGTGGCGGGTAACCCCACCTATCATGTAAACGTGATCAAATTGAAATGAGAGATTATATGGACAGGCGGGTTACCCCACCTAAGCGGGTTACCTCACCTACCTGGGGTCCCCCACCTCCATGTAAACAGGCCCTTAGAGCTAATATGGACACTTAGCCCTGTCCTTGAAGTGTCTGCATTCAACAGGTCTTAGATGTTTCCATAAGGACGCAAATATCGCCTTAAGGAAAGCTATACCTTCATAACAGAAAGAACAACCTGTAATATATCTAGTACAAGCCCAAAACTTAAGCAATCCCGAGCCAGGAAAACATTTAACTAGCAGTTTCGGTATATAATAAGGAGTTTTGAAAATGAATGCCCTTTACCAGTACTACAACCCTATTCACAAGTTCAGCGTAAGACAATATTGAAGTAATGAAAGTATGAAAACAGGGAACTTACGCAACGACGACGGCAACGGCGTCAAGAATGTCACCCAAAAGTGAATTCGCGCCGTTTCAAACTTCATCGCTTTTATTCCAGCTCCTTTAATTTGTCAAATGTTGGCGATTTTTCAGGAGTTGAATTCTAAAGGAATGTATCTGAGTTCACTAAAACAAAAAGAAAATCGTTGTCTTTGTTCACGTCCTCCAAAAAAAGTGAAATTCACGTCGGTATCGTGCAGTGATGGTAAAGAAATGTACAAAAAAACGTGCAAAGTTGTTGTTTTGGTAGGAACGGTGGGGTGAAGAATTCAGGTCATGTTCACACTATACCGGAAGCATTTTGCGCAAGCGCAAAAATCATCCGAATAGGGCCTCTACTCACACATAAGAACGGTTGTGGCGCGATTTCTGCAACGGAGCGAAGCTGCGCCGCGCGGATCTCGAAAGTGAAGCGTCACACATCAGATAGGTTCTGTGCCAAACTTTGGTGTAGTATAGGTGGTTTTCACGTTACGTCATCGGCGCCATGCTGGTGGACAGTAAACAAAAGATCGCTCATTAGCTCGCTTAGTTTGTCCACCAGCATTTGTTCATTTCACCATTGTTATTTGTGTCTCCCGAGATTGCATGAAAACCACCTATAAACAGGTATTGGGACTGATTCGCTCCTGTGTTTGAAGGGCTACTTTATGTTGAAGATTTCACCACTAACTGATTTTCGCGTACATGACCGTACATGGAATTTATTTGCACATGTAGTTGTAGAAGAACAAGAAGTAGCAGTCAACTGAATTAAATTAATGTTACAAAGACAGTTTTGCGGTTGAAGCGACGGGCAAATATTATAGTCACAATTTGTGTTCCATATGCGGCTAGTAAGCTTCGATGTGCGATCGGTGGTGACACTTTTGAAATGTAAGTTGCGTAACAAACTTCTAGGTTTTTAAATAACTAGTCACCTGATCTATTTTTGGCGCGTTGCGCCAAGATAATTAAATATTCACAAAAAAAATTGACAAACGGCTTGAAGAAATGCAAATCACGGACCGTAGAGGAAGTGAATAAGTAGGAGCGAGGACTGAAGTCTGGAATCCACTGAGACGAAAGTAAATATTCAGGAGTGAGGACTGGGATTTAGCTCACCAAACCCTCTGGGCCAACCGCTGAAGACAACTTCAACTGTTGAAGACCTAATGTTATACGAGAAACCTTTGCGCCACCGGTGCAGTGCACTACCAATTGAGCTAATAAGCCAACTGGGAGCAGGTCATTGAGTTGGTGCGTTATGTTATAAACCCTTGAGAGGATGACGATAGAAAAATAAATATTGAGAATCATATATATATAGGAACTGCGGGTGAAGAATTGAATGAAAGAAGATTTTTGGAGTTTAGCTCATGAGTTCGTTATAACGAGCCAACTCAGTGACCTACTCCCAGTTGGCTTGTTAGCTCAATTACTAGTGCACTGCACCCGTATTGCAGAGGTTAAAGGTGCAAATCCTGTCCAAACCTGAATTTTTTTAGGCTTTCTTATTTCAACCGCAAACGTTGCGTCTATAACTGCGATGAGCTTCTTTTATTTGTTATTTTTATCGGCTATTTGAAACTACGGTAGCTTTGAAAAATTAATTTTTTTCTTGGCTGCTTGTAATAGAGGTTTAAAGGGAAAAATGGATTTCTATTTGAAACGGCATATCACACATCGATTATAAACTTCCTGATGACTAAGCCTTTCAAAACGTTCGAATTTCATTATACCATGGTCATTTTTATGCAACCTCGTTCCCTCGGTTCTTAACCTGAGATCAGGCCCAATTTGAGCGGTTCTCATACATTCTCTCTAACGGCTACCGCCCCGCCGGAATGTAATTTTCAATGCGAAAGGAAAATAGAGCCTGATCTCAGGTTACTCGGTTCTCTCCTATGAATGCTGAAATTTATGTTGTGTAAGAGTCTGGGTCGGTCGATTGTTCTGGTGATGATTTTTGACTCAGTTTCCCGCGCAACCTCGTCATCCGGCCAATAAATGAAAACTAAACGTACCCAGAACAGTCCCAGAGTACAGTGTCATCAAGACCAAAGCCACCACTATCATCGTGACAAACAAGCTGTATATGAGTGCATAATTATATAGTGAACATTCCGGACACTTAACTAGAAACTAGGCTTGTTCCCTTGCTGCGAAAGAAAAAAAACTAGACAAAACACTTGACCAAGTTTTTATTTAACCGGAAAAGTCCAGGACATAGAGCTAACAAAACAAAAATTGATTAAATACTTTTCGGAGGCAATTCCGCAAAAATAAAAACTTTCTGGTGGATAAACTTTCCTAAAAATTCAAATGCATAACTCATGTATCCGCACAGCACGGGGAAGAGTTGAGTTTCTTCTATTTGCCCTGTTCAGGCTATTTCATTTTGGTTTTAATTTGGTTCAGGTAGATTTTGGTGGCTGGAAACATATACTATAATGCTGTCTTACAGTGTACTTCAAATTCGTCTTAAGGGAAAACATGATTTACAGACAAATCTAATATATGATTTATGGCAAGACGAGCAACCACAATTATCATGTTCCATTACTGCGCCAGGTATGCACGAACTTTTAGCAGATAAATTTTTCCTTTACTAATCATCAAGAGCCAAAAAGTTCGCAGAAAGTGACTCAGTAAAAATGATAGCTTTATATCTCTAGAACCTCATCTGACAGGACAAACATTTCAGCAAAATACGTCAATCATGCAAGTAACCGATCTAAAATAAGTCTGAATCTTAATGTAGAAATTTGAATTCTTTTGGGTAAACGCGACATTCAATGAAACTAACTACAAAATAAGGTGCAATGTATTAAAAAAAGAGGTTCGTTTTTGAAGCAGCCTGCAAACATCATGGAAAAAAAGAAAACTTTCACTCTTCGCAAGAACATAAGAAGTCGTTCTCTTCGTGAAGGACAAAAGCAAATAAGTCCTTGCTGCTCTCATAAGATTTTTTTTTTTGACGGCCTATAAGATTGTAAACCGTGTCCCGTAGAACTGTGACGATAAACTATAAGTTCCAGATAACCTGTTTTCGCGCAGTAATAAGAAAGAGCGCCTATAGTACAATTTTCGTACGCTCGATCGGCTGGTGTTATTCCTGTGTTATGGCCATTGACTAGATAAGATAACACTTGCATATTTTTTTATTTGTTTTTTTTTTGGCGTAATGGCAGCATATGCACCCTTAGTATCACTTCTAACTACTGGTTTTAGATTTCACAGCCGTCCAAATTTTATCGGAACAACGAGTTAAACCTGCACCATTCTTTGCCAAAGGCTGTAGATTTTTTTGTTACCACTTTTAAGTGGCTCGAGTTCCTCATGCCGAGAACTCAATAATCGATCGATGAAGTCGTAAACTAAACGTAAAAATTCCTTAACAGTTGAAACTAACGAAAACTTATTGTTTCAGGCTCATAGAATTCAAAACACATGTCTATATGATCTTACTTCAAGCTGCTTTCCTTTTCACTAAGCAGTGAAGAATTGATCATTCAGAATTGCTAATCATGTGGCTTTGCTTTACTCTGTAAGAAAGTTAAACATTTCAGTAGTTTCTTTATGGCCTAATCACTGCTTTATTGCTTAATTTTACTGCTTAATGTCGGTCTGTACCGAATGGAATTCGAACGAAATAAACGCTTTTTCCTACTTTAATCAACAAAGAACAGAGCAATTCAATTGGGAGTTGACAAAAGTGACATGTGTTTACTCGTAAATTTTGAATTGAGTAAGGATTATAAACCACAAGTGTGTTCAGTCGTCATGATAATTGTTTAAGAGTAAGAAACCAATTTTTAGAACCATTTTTTATCGCTCATTAATTGGAACAAACTGAGCCTGAGTTAGACGAAGATAAATTTTTGACTTAATTATGTTATAAAACACGGCGACTTCATATTAAAGTTCCTTCTCCATGTGAAAGTCATTGTTGTTTGTCGTACGATTCTTATTAATAGTAAGCATTCATATTATAATTTCAGTCAAAATTATTAATTAAAAAACCCATTTTCGCAGCGAATCCTTTTTTGTTTATGAGATTTTTCAAGAGATAACAACTTTGTCCTGCTGCATTTCAGCAGTTCTGTGTAGTACAACTGTTTAATTTCCCGCAGTCAGATATACGCGGACGCAAGAAGCACTTTGAGCCCATACTTAATGAATACCATGTTGTATTCCACTTGTTTGTTCATATCTCTGTTGTACCTTTGCCATTCCACACTAAAAGCCCATGCAACAAATCCAGGAAAAAACGCCAAGAGCGTTTTATTGTCGTACCATGAGGACGATGCGTACTCTGTGTACCAGCCGTGCGCGTGCCATAAGCAAGGCACGTTTTCGTTTTTATTCAACACCCATCAATCAAATGCGTTTCTGGCGTATCAAGACGATGGTAACTTCAACAACTTTGACTTATTTCTCATCAATGGAAAAATCCGAGCAAGAGTACTTTTTGATAAGTGCGGCTCCAAGACTGAGACGCTCTTGATAAAAGGCAACTTTTCGGATTCTCGCTGGCATCGAGTTCAGTTAAGAACAGAAAGAACCAAACTGACTCTTAAAGTGGACGGATGTCATTCTCAGTCTATCTCGTGTTCCTTTCCACCATCTAAGGGACCAATATGGAATGCTCTTTACGTTGGAAAAGTTCCTAGTCACACGAAGAGGAATTCGTTGGTGAAACAAAGCATTATTATGGAGACACTCCTTTCTGGGTAAGTTGAATCTGAGTAAAACATTTATGCTTTAACTTATTTCAAGGAGGGCCAAGAACGAATTAACCAAATAAATTAGGGTGCGAAAGTTCTATATTTCTCAGATGGAGGAAACTGGGAAACGAACAGCTTCACGTTGGCAAAATAGTAGATCGAGGAGTCTCAATTCTTGCCTATGAACACAACACCGGTCTTGGCAGTGCATGCATTATTGCGCATTTGACTTCTCAAATTGAGAACATAACGTTTTAGCGCCGAATTGGAGCGTACTAACGATCAGAGAAAAATTCTCTTAATGGTATGGAAAGATTCAGGAGGGAGGAAGGGACATTATAGATCCATAAATACTTCTTAAATTGTCGGAAATTAGTTATGAAAGATATAACATTAACGAACCAAGTTGACAAGATCTCGAAGAAAAAAATACTTCATTTTGCTGCAGATCAATCTTTTTCAGCAAAATTTATTAACCTTTAATGAAATTTTATCATTACTCTGATTCTGATAGGTTTCAAGGGTGTATCGGTCAGGTAACACATAATGCACCTGGAAAACCACCCGAACCTCTGCCACTGCGCAATAGCTTGGAGACTGTACGCTTCTGTGAAAGTCAATGCGTATTTGGCGGGAAGTGTGACAATCACACTGATGACGTCGGCAAAAGTGACGAGGAATGCGAGTGTCCCGGATTTGAAGTCGAGAAAGAGCTTTGCAGGGAAAACCTCACACATGCGCAGAAAAGCTTATCGATTGGATTTAACAAAACTGACGCCTTTTCTACGACAGTCACACCAAATCTGATGTCTTCAAGGCAAATTAAAGCTTTGGCAACAACAGCTTCTTTATCAAATACTGCTACAAATCCATCTGGGGATATTGCTACTCAAACCTACTCAACAAGTTCCAGACAGCGTGGCTCCACTGCTTTTTCAGCTTCAAGTTCGATCATTTCAATATCAGCAAAACGTTCCAGTTCAACTGCGGGTCCTTTCAGATCTGCATTAGATAATCAAGTTCCAGTGATGCAAAAGAAAAGTAGCGCTTTCTTTTCGAGAGGCTCATGTGTCTTGCTCTGTCTTGGTTCTTTAGTTGCTGTACAGAGTAGTTGGCCTTTTTATGTCCAATAAAAAAACAAATACTGAGAAACAGCTACTACGGCAAAAGCCTTGTATCTTTATGACTGTTCTAATATGTGTGGCTTGTTCATATCATTCTAGGATAAACAAAATTGACTTGCTCTGATCTTCCGAGTTTGTGAGGGCGTAGTGCGAGCCAAAGTTGGGGATTCACTATTTGTCATGGTCTCCCTTGAGCCGCACTCTCCACGATCGATAAGTACACAGACATTGTTGTCAAGTCGCTTTTAAAGAACCCCAAAGTTTAGTCAAGATCGACGATGAACAAGTGTTACAGTTTTAGTTGTCTCAGTTTTGTTTACTTCAATCAAGAATGTTAAAATTTGCTGTTAATAACAGAGAGTTAAAATGCTTGAAAGTGAAGGGAAAATACGAGAAAAGCCTGCTGGAAGTTCAGAGGCATATAAAGACTTTTTGTGGGGTACGCACAGAGGATAATTTTGCCACGATTGTTATCGGCCATCAGCTATCAATTGGCTACCGTGAAACACAGGACAAACACTTGCCCTAAGAATTTGCACAAACAGTGGCGACGCTATTGATCTCAATGTCCCTTACCAATATGAAAGATTACGAAAGGAGAACCTCTGTCTTTTAGTTTTTACCTTAAAATACCTTCGACTTTATTTCTGGTAGGCACGATCGTACTGGTGTTGATCAGGACCGCGGCTACGCCGATATAGAAATGAAAAAAGGGCACAGTAAACAAACTAATTAGGACTCTTTAACTATATGTTATTGTATTGTAATCATTACATACTACTATTATTAGTATACATGTAGTTTAATATTACCTACGATAAATGCTCCCACAAACGCGGTCATCTTTGCTGCTTGTTCACTATTAAGAGCTGTAAAAGACGCGGCCATCATTGGAGCACGCATGTGACAAGGAGGTTATTTGAGATTTCAGACGTAACCTAATTTCTGTCATGCGGACGAAGATAGCCCAAAAATTCCAGATGTTCCGGACTCGCTGTCAGGCACTCTCCCTCGGGGACTCTCATATGAAAGGGAAGGGGATGCATATTTTGTCTTATTGCTCGTCCGGGTCGGTGTGGTCGAGCTAAGGTTCATTTTAAGTCTTTGAGAATGACAGCGTCTTTGTACAGATATTTAAGTCTAAGCTAAGCAATAAATGTAAGGTAAAGTCTTAGTTTTCCTTCCTGAACACCCAAAGTGAGACCCGAAAAATCTGCCATTCATATCCTTTAAACGAGACCAGCGTCCCTGTCGCTTCCGTTCAGAAATTGAGCGAGCGACCTAGGACCTTCTATGAAACAGGCTGGTACCCTAAATCGGCTCCTGTTAGTACAAAGTGACCAAGGCACTGAAATGGGTGACTCGTGCTAGGGTGTATAGCGTTGTTCGAAGCAGCCGTCGAACTCATGGAGCAGGATGAGGTTGTGATCTGCTTAAGAAACTCTTCTGGTCCTTCTGAAACGGATCAGAAGTTGCTTCAGGCTCAGGGTTTAAAATGTCTGCCTGTTTTCAAACAAGTTTTTGAGTGCCAACACTTTGTATTACTGAATTGTTAAAACGGCATTTTGACATAAAATGGTGCATGTTGAAGTTAGTAAGAATAAATGGATTTTTGTATGACACAAATTTAGCGGCGACTTGAAGAAGTTTCAATTAGTTAATTGGAGTAAAAGCATCTGTTTGGTGCCAAGTGTTCCAATATCTAGCACCCTCGCAGAATTTTCACAAAGCCGTTTTTAACAGTTTAACTGGAATGCATTTGAACATTTTTGAGCTTAAACTGGGGGCTTATATAAGGTACGGCAAAACCAGACGGGGGCATAAGAGTAGTGTGCGAAGAAAGAACTTCCCGTATGTTCGTAATACTTCTTTTTGATGTCACGCATACAATCAGGGAGAACTCTGTAGCAATTTCTTCTTACAAAATGTAAAAATTGTTAGTAATTCGCGGACGTTTTGAAAATTTAAGACTGTCCACTGACGAATTAAACTTAAAGAAGCTGAAATAAAATTTGTTCGGTCACAAAAACGATCATCGGTTCAATTATTTTGAAATTATTGTCAACCGTTTATCTTTCAAGAGAAAAGTCAAGATGAGGTCATTTGAATTCCAAATCTATTCCTGACCGCAACCTTATCGCGTTCGGTTGGTTCAGTGCTGCAAACGTCTGTTCGCGGACATTTTCTGTAATACTGATATCCAATGAAGAAAAACCTTGCTTCTGTTGAAAAGCTTCAATTCCAGATGATTCCATAGAAGCTGTTTATTTTCGTTTTGGGATTGACAAGTGTCAGGTGAAACCTATTAAGTCTACAACTTGCAAGATGAAGACTTTGTGCTGCGTAGAGATGTTTTTGGCGATTACCATCTGCCATCAAATTGGTCATGGGAGAAGGTTCATGCCAAGGAACAAAACGAACAGCACGTTAAAATACAGCAAGTTTGCTTACTCCGTTTTCTCGGTGCGGCAGTTTACCAACAACTCAACTCTTGTTTTCCAATTCAAAACGCTGAAAAAGCACGGGATGCTATTTTATATGGATGATGCTGGGGCAAACTTTATAGACGCGTTCTTGTTGAGAGGACAACTGCGAATTCGGCTTACAATAGGCAGCTGTAAAGGAAAACATTTTATAAACGGTTCTTTTACCGACCTGGAATGGAACAGAATTATCTTAAAAAGAACTCCCGAAACAGTGCTGCTAACGGTAGACAGCCACAACGCCAGCACTTTCAAGATTTGCAACAGAGTTGGAGAAACTATCTTTAAGAAGTTATATGTCAGCTTTTTTCCTTTAGAGGAATGGCTCCAGCGAATTAAGTGGTTGTTCCGTGATTCTTGGGAACTTTCCTTGAAACATGGCGGGTAAGTTAATACCGCGAGTTTTTTTTTTAATATAGATTATTTCAAAGATGTGAATTAAGAGGTATGAAAATAAAATTTAAAAATATTGGGAAATCCTTTCCTGGAGGCAGGCATCACATGATGTTTATACTGTATGAACACCTTGAGACTAAGAGAAAACCGCACTTAAAATGACGTTTTTACGTTAGGAAAAAAATCACAGCATCACAACGATTTTTGAAGCACAGGAAATAGACGGATTTATGACAAACTGAATTTGCTGTCAAATTGTCCCGTCTCTATATCAAAAAACATTAACAATTAATTGTTCAAAACCGTTTCTCATAAATGTACTAAATCAAGCCACAGCAGGGTAATGCTTGCATGCAACCGAATAAAAGACACTCGATTTCGACTTTCTTTCATGATCAGCACCAATACCCCATTTCCTCTCCTACCTGTTTCAGGGGTTCAAAATCGTTAGGGCTTACGATTGACATTTTCACGGTTTTGTTTTTGGTGATAGGTTGGCTAACGGCTAATTTGACTTATTTCTTTCTTAAATTTTAGTAGAAATCTTTAAACAAAATTACATTTTTCAGGTTTTTCTCCAGAAAAAATCCAGCTGGCCTTGGGCTGGGAGCTCTACTTATGCTAGCATGCAGATGAAAACTGACTGAAATATTATACCAACGTTTTTTCTCGGTATATTTTTGTCAAGTCGATTTTTAATTGTTTCTCACATGATATTAGAAAAATGGCTAATAGCCCGTTTTCGAAACGACCTATTGAAAATTCGCCTTTAGAGGGGCTATTTGTTGGAACAAACTACCTAAAGACATGAAGGAAGTAGCAGATTGCCGAATTTTTAAGAAGAGACCTATAAATATGTTCTTAAGATGACGTTCATCCTTTTAGTACTTAAAATTAGTTGACTCGTTTAATAATTTTCTCTTGTATCTAGTTAGTTGTTACAAAGTTAGCCCATTGTGACTGAAAAGCCCTGTAAAGGGAGTCTCAATAAACGTATGTATGTATGTACCTATAACACGTAAGCCAAACGACTTATAACACAGTACAGCGAAAAGACTCACGACGTAGGTCGGCGAACAGGACGAAGGCGAAAAGACTCGTTAGCGAAACAACCGTAAACCCCGTTTAATATACAGTCGTGTTTGGATCCACTGTACGTGAATAACTCTTTGTATCCTCCCTTCCCACCTCGCACACACTGATCTGACTGATGAAGCCAATAATTTACACTCTTAAGTTACACACTAGGTTATGTCTACACTTTATCGGATAGCTTTTCGTGCCGACATGAAAAGCTGTCAGATACACTATGAACGGCAACGGCACCGGAATGGAACAGTCGTCACACACATCGAACATCCTACCAGAGCCTGCCTAACCTGAGATCGGACGTTATCCATTTTTTTTTTGCTTCTTTGGCTCGAGAGGGAAAAATAACGCCTGATACATCCATTTAACAAGCCGTCAACCGCCCCCTAATTTAGGTAATCTAACGTCTGCTTGACCTGTCATGTTAGTAGCCAATCAGCGTTTACCAGACGGAAATTAAATTTTGGCGACAATAATGTCTCTTTTGAAATCAATTTTAAGGAAAAGAAAATTTTTAAGTACGTCCATGTTCAGATGGTGCTTCCTAAAAAAGAAATTTTTAATGTGTATTTTAGAATGAAATACTGCTAGCTGCAGCTGCCGTTCCTTTATTTAACAGCTACAAATGATAAACAATTTACTGGTAAAAGCTCGTTGACTTCGTACTGTGCCGAAAGCAGTGAAAAAAAAAATTAGGCTGAAGCACCATATTTCATGAACTGAAAAGTGTTGTGAAAGCGAAGATCGCTCAGAATAGTTTGCAGGTTTCTGAGGGAGGAATTACAGTCAAACCAGGTCAAGATTCCATTCATGAATTGATTATTTGAAAAGTGAACCCGTTTGTCGCTTCTGTAACTTGTAGCCGGTATCAAATTGCATTCAAATGATCGGTGAATTTTTGACTGCAATTTTTAGCATACGATGAGATGGAAAATACTTCAATGGATGAAATTTCTATTTAGACATTCTTCAATTTCAAGAAAACTGAGCCGGCAGAAATTTCATAACGAACTCGCGTGTGTATTCACTGCTCATTACGCAAGCAAAAATGCAGATTGAAATCAACAACAACTAACGGATGGCGGCATTTTGGCCAATCGGAACAGCGCAAATCATTCGTATTGTTTCCTATCCAATCAGAACAAAGTCCAGATTCCGGCTTTTTTGCATGTGATCTGTGATTGTATCATGCCCTCCTCCCTCCTCCCTCCGCTCCTACTTATTTTCTTCTGCTTCGGTCCGGAAGCCGGTTCACACGCCGGCGAACAGTGGCCGTGGCAGAAACCTATTTCCACTAATTTCAAGATCAGCGCGCTACAGCTTCGCTCCGTTACAGAAATTGTACCGAAATGATCGTTGTTATGTTTGAGCAGAAGCCCTATCTGATATGGTTTTCGCGTCTGCTCAAGAGTTATACGGTATTTTGTGAAAATATCCTTAGCTTTCATTACTACGAGCCTTACTTTCACGAAACGCGCTGTACATGTCACATTTGACCCTCGGACGTACACGCAAATTCATGCCCCCACCGTGGTACAAGGAGGGGTGGATGGAGCCCTCCCCGGAGTTTTTTATATGTTGCAGTATTTCGAAACGATTTTACCTTTCTTGGAAAGCCTTTGATCTTCTTGTATCTGATGAATTTTTTACGGTGTATAAATAACGATTAAAGATTAAAGCTTTGAAACATTCGTGTGTTGTGTAAAGTGATAAAATTATCATGTCCGGATTTTGTCAGCTAATTTTTCAGCAAGTCCAAGGATTGAATTATAAGTGGAAGACTCCTCGGCAACTCCTCGGCGCTACTTCGTAAAGTGTTTTAGGAGGGCTTATGTAAACCGGGGGGGGGGGTTGTTTTATAATTCAAAGGGGCTCTTAACCGAACAAAAAACAGGCGTTTCAGAACAAGCTACATAGCTGAGTGCTGATCAAAATACTTTTTGAATTTACTCCCTTTTTTAAGCGTCAAAACTTCGCAAAAATCGAGTTTATTTCAAAACAGGCTAGAGAGAGTCTTCTAATTGGAGTTATTTGTTTTTTATTGGTAGATAGGTCTGTAGCTGGGGGGGAGGGGTGAGGGCTTATAAGCTGAAGTTCAAGGTATTTCAGTTTCAAAGCAGTTACTTAGAAAACGGAAGTTGAGTTGTATTGGCGCCCAAATTTCGGGCTAAATGGGCTGTATGAGATTGCTCAAAAAGGAAAAGGTGAAAACTGACATCCGGTATGGCACCATGTGAAGATCATAGAGGTACATTTGCAGTCTATACAGTGGACCCCAATATAACAAAATCGATGCACCGGGTTTCTACGCCAGAGAACTACGTTCTCATCAAATTTGCTCATTAAAGGCTACTGTTGCTTTTCACAAGACGTCACGAAAATTCAAACTACAAAACTATCGATCCTTTTTTTATTATTATGTATTTATTTCGCACACACAAACAATTACGATACAATTTACATTTAAAATTCATTACAGGTAACTGTTATCGTTTACAGAAAAGAAATAAAAAGAAAAAGAAAGACAAAGTCCACAAAAATACTATAGTTTATATATTAACAATTAAGAGAAGGCTGCCGATCCTACTGAGATTTTACTTTCATGATGTATTAGAGCCTACTGAAAACTATATTTCTTACAAATTTCGCTTTAAAAGGATTCTTGGTTTTGTGATTAAAAAATCATCACATAAATTATTCAATAATTCTATAATATATAGTACCATGTGGTCGAGTGTATTTACTAGGAATAGAATCAAAATGAACTTCAAATATATATATATATATATGCTGTATAATTCTTTTCTTTTTGTAGATTTGAAGGCTGTATAAAAACCCCCAAATACTCCGTAGGAGTAAAAAGGTTTCGCCGTGCTCGCCTGCTTAAAAGTGAACGTACTTTACCAGGCTGCCGTAACGCGTGCAAGGACAAAAGTATTGCTGGGAAATGCTACAATGGCGGGAAATGTGTCAACAAGGTAGTTCGGAGAGAGTGTGACTGCAAGGGGACTGGGTATTACGGTTCAAATTGTTCTCAAGGTAGGAAACTATAGAGATTTCTTTTCGCTGTGATTTTCAAAATTCTGCCAGGATAAACTAAAAGTATATAAATCTCCAACGACCTGTGGTTATATTAAAGACTCTTATTATTTTAGAGAGAGCGGAAAAAATTGGTTGCACAAATAAAGTTACTAATGCGCTAAGCGAGATCGGAAAGCTCAATAAATAATACTAGATTTCTCCAACGATAATCAGGAATCAAAAAGACGATAAGTCAGTTAAAGCTCAGTAAAATGGAAAAATCTGTGATGTTCATCTCATTGTTTTGTCTAATTACTGTGACGGTATACGGATAATATTTCAGTAGTCGGGATAAGCTAAATAAATCTGAATATAGAAACAACTTTTAAAGATGTAACTCGTCACTGTTTCTTCCCTCATAAAAGTACGGGTTTTAGTGGCGATTTTACAGTAGTTATTAAACGAAAGTTTTAATAGTGGCCACCTACGACTCTACGGCATGATCCACCTTTAAAGAAATCAAACTAAATATATTGCCTCGTCGTACGTTCCACAAACTCAGCCCGTATATGGTCTCGATTGGCGATAGGACTCAAACCCAAGCCACATTGTCGAGACGCGAGTGCTCTCGACACTTTGCCATCCCTGTTTTCTAAAAAGAGTAGTTTTGTCCTATGATTGACACCCTTAGGCTCATAATCAGTTATGTAGTTAATGAAAGAAAACATTCAGCGAGAAATGTCGAATTCAGATGAATCGAATAATTTAATAAGCCGGACAGTACGAAAGCCTTTTTACTAATACAAGCTTGACATTGAGTATTTGGTTACCATTACCTTATCCGTTTATTTTTACCATCATTTTTTGTGATAAAGTGGTAGTATAATTTGAATACGTTACTGTTAGGAATGAATAATGAAACAATGATAACAATTCCTCTGTCATGCTTGATAAAGTTAACAACTTATACATTACTTACATATTCACCACCGTTTTGGTTTTGGAGCTGCTAAAATATTTTTTTGAAACCTACTTACGTCAGAAAAAAATTGCATTTACTTTAATCCCGAGAATTGATTAACCCCATTATAGAACACATATATAATTAAATTATAATGCATTTTTTTTAGCGAGAGTATCGACAAAAAAGAATTCATCTCCGTGGATTCAATCACATGTTACAGTTTTAATTACCTTTCAAGTGGCAAAAAAGTAATTTACATTCCATGTTCCTTGATTTTTTAAGAACATGGAATAAAAAAATGGCATTAACAGATTAAAATGCCAATTTTTCAAGATTCGTCAATTTTGAATTTGCCTGCAAGATCCGTTAGTACATACAGAAAGACTCATGTTAAAAGGCTCCTGTAAAATTTCAAAGCATTTACAGATTTCTTGTAAACTGCGATTATAAGTTTTCTGTTGCAGCCTGGATGAGTTCATTGGTCAAGAAAGACAGAAATTTGTTAAGGAAGTTCAAGCCACTTATACCCTATACCGACTTGAACAAATAAAATTGGTTCTTAGAAGTACGAAATTAATGACCTTAAACATTTGCATACGAAGTCGTGGGCTTTTCTAGTTTTTGATATTGATCTTGAGAGATCGCTTCTTAGCAATCCAGTAAATAAATGAAATTGCATTGAATTGTGGTTTTATGACTGACGAGATGGGCGATCTAGATCTTTTTTGCTTATTTTTATTTGATTTGCCCTAGAGAGAAAGGTCGCATATTTCTGCGGCCTTCTGAGCAGACAAACTCTTTAATTTGTTGCTCTCTTTTCCTGAAAGTTTTTTTACTTTGAAGTGTTACTAAATTGGGTTATGTTACGTTGTTAACAACATGATGAACGTTTTAAGCATGATTTTGTTTCTTTCGTGGTCAGTGGCGATGGAAGACTCCATGGCAGGATTACGATTCGGCGGCCAGTTTGACATGGGGACAGAAGGGGGCAACTTTGCAGAATTTAGCGGTTGGCCTATGGTTGAAACCAGTCAGCTTCAACTCTACTTTAAAACAACAGCCTTAAAACTGGCTCTGCTGGCTTACCAGGACACTGGTGTAGATGACCGATCCGGCCACAAAGGCTACCTTGAAGTATCATTGCTGGCTAATGGACATGCTCGACTGAAGGTGGTAGGCGATACATGTTCGCCTTTCCAGGTCCAAATTCCCAGAAGTTTCTCAGATGGTTCTTGGCACAAGCTGACAATTTCAAGAAAGGATTCACAGCTCAATTTTAGCGTGGGTAACATCTCAGCTCCCTCCATCAACTGCGTCCAAGTCCCCAGGCTCGCTGGACCGACCGGCAAGGCGAAGAAATCTCTTTTTATTGGAGGGATTCCGGTTTTAGACTCGCAAGAGAATCCAACGTTTAGAAAATGGTCTCACACTGGGCTTCTAAGCAAAGTGATGAACCAAAAAAGGTAAGCTGAGAGATGGATAATGATTGCACCTGTAGATATATTATACACGCGCCTTCCTCTAGGCACGTGTGTGGTCATCTTTCCTTTTATATATATGTAGTCAGATTTTTTAAAACCTTACCACAAAATGGACCGTTTGAGTCCAACAGTATATTTTTCGGCCAAAGTAGGCATTATAAAAACTAAGAGTGCAACCATTGTCTTTTTTCTCTTCTCCTCCTTTTTTCTGCATCCTGGCTCTTTCTTTTACTCCTTTCCTTAGTGTGATTTGAAGCTTATCAGGCCCAAGAAAGCTGCCTTTTGACGCCTTTTCACTCAAATGACGGCTAGATATACAATCAAATCTGTTGTCATAGACACATGAAAATTTTGGAAGTTTGAAAAGTGTTTTAGAAAATAGATCATACAAATCAGAAGGTTTAAGGATGTCATCCTCAAAGAATAACGTTTCACCTCTGGTTTAGTTTGGTCTTTACGAAGTCCACCTGGTTAAGTGGAGAGTATTATGTTTATCGGCTTTCATGACAGAATAAATCGATCAGTAATACAACGAAAAGCTTTAATAAGGTATAACTCCACATGGCCCTAGACGATTGTAGGATCTTGACTGACATACAGCAGACGTTTGTGTGGGAGTTGTTGACAGCTGTGACCACAATTGATCTATTCACTGAAAGTCCACACTGCACGGCTTTGATCGCCAAACTTGAGGTTGTTGCAATGAATTTTTACCGATCTTCAGGCTGGGCTGCAGCTGATAATACTTGCTTCATACTTTATAGATTCGCTCGAGTCAGTTTAATGCCACCATGATTATATCAACGCGCAGGCTTTCATTTCTCACTTTATGTTTATTAATCATTGATATTGAATGCGAAAGTCTATGACCATTTTCTACAAAGGCTGGTGCGTATTTCGAATGCTGTCAGTTATAATAAAATGTGAAACCTCTGTGAGAAATGCGATCTTTATTGAACCAAAATCTGCGCTGTTTTAATGGTCTGCAAAACAGTGAGAAAAAACCGAGGAGAAGATATTTTCCCAAGGTGACGCACGAATTTCTAATGTATTTTCATATCAGTGTAATCAAGAGGACTAAAATTCCATTATTATGTTTTATTCATTTTTAAAGTTAACTTTTGTGAAAATAAAGAAAATAGTTTCTATTTTCATGGATCGCAAAAGCCAAGCAACTAAGTTGGATTTCAAAGTCTAAACGAGAGCTGGGAATTGCAGCACCCATTTTGGCTTTTGAAGTTATCCTGTAAACTGTAAGTCATATACACTATGATACAATATGGCTGAATCTGCGAGCGGGTAAGGTGAGGCGAATCCTGTGTTCTGATTGGCTACTTGAGCAGGCAAGATGGACCCATCTTGCCCGCTAGGGATTTCCCGCGTTAGTCCCGCAAGAAAACGTTATCTTTGTGGCCATGTAATAAATCCTTCATTGCCCGACCTTGTTCGGTCAAGATGACTGGATATTGGCCTGTGATTCTTGTTTGTGTTTTTATGGACCGAGACAAAGTTTCAGCCATCTTGTCCTCACCCTTGGTAAATAACGAATATGTACTGCACTGTAGATGAGTAGAGGACGAGTAATAGACTTTATACACCATACCCGCCATCTCTGTACGCGCTTTAGGACTGATAGGATAAAGACAATGTCAAGTGGTATTTCAGGGAGCAAAAAAGTAATGAAATTTGCCAATACGGGTAATCACAGTCTAGTTTGTTTATATTTTCTCAAGACGTGGCGACAGTTTTAGTCTTGCAAAATGTACAAATTGCGTTTCGACTACTTTTACTTCAGTATTGCTTCCTGTGAGAACATCTACCGTCCCTTCTGCATCTAGAAAAGAAACAATGATCACTTTCACTCGGTATAATTTGCCATTATCATCTTTAAGGTGAAACTCGACCGCGATTTCTTACATTGGCAAATTTTATCTCTTGTTTGCCTCCTGAGAAACCACGTGACATTGCCTTTATCCCATCAGTCCTAAAGCACGTGCAAAGATGGCAGGTACCGTGAACAAGGTCTATAGTAGGTACCTTGACATAACGTTACGTTTGTTGCATTGTTACAGCTGGTTTAAAGGGTGTGTGGCTCTCTTAAGATACAGCAGTGCAAGCAAGCCATTTGGGAATGCCAAGTTACTGAGATCACTGCACGTTTTAGGAAACTGCAGCGGGGAGCCTTGCTCACGGAATCAACACATCTGCCAACATGATGGCACTTGCGTGGATCTGATAACCATGACCGAGTGTGTCTGTGAGACGACTGGGTACCACGGCCGTTACTGTGAGCAATCAGGTAAATGCCTTGGTAACCCAAGTGTAATATATAAGTTTGCGGTATAGGAAATTTAACGGCTCAAAGTTTAAGATTAGATGATGTAAAACCTATCGTCGTCCCGTTACTTCAGTTTAAAAAGTGACGGTCTACTGAAGGGGGAGGCCGTGAGCTCAATCTATAATCGTTGGTAAATTTCATTGTGCTGTATCAGAAACCCATAAGGGGCTGTATCGCATTTGATTACTTTTCGTTATCGCTTCAACATTCATAAACCGAAACTAAATTAAAATCAGTATAGGTAAAAGTTAACCTGAGAAAACTGCCGACATTTCGCGACGCCGCCACTGAATTTATCGCCAAATTACGTCTGCGGAACGAACGCAGAAATTCCTAGCCTGCATAGCAAGCGTTTCCTCGCGAGGTTCATCTAGAAAGCTGGGGCAAGAGCAAAAAAAAAAAAATGAATGACGGGGGAGGGGGAGGGGAAAGAAGGAACCGCTTGCCCGCAAACCCCACGATTTTGAAAAACTGCGTTCGCCCACGAACGCAGCCTCTGATTGGCGCGGTGCGGGTAGTGTTGATTACTTGGCATTCGAAACATCAATCAAACCAGGTATGCTTTGTTTTCGTGCGTCACTGATCTGGTCTCATGTGATTTGTGGTCGCAGATTACAAATGCTTTGGACTGATATTTATTGGAATCGTGTTTGTGCGAAGGTTTATGAGATCAGAGCCTTCAAAGTATAATTGGAGATCGAGCAGTGGTGACTAGGGAAGGCCAATTTATTGAGAATGACGGCGTGCGGATCTGACTGGAAAAAATGGACTGTTTGTTGGAGATAACATCAACATAAATCAGAACATCGGTACTCGACACTAGCTGAAGCCGCCATGGACAAGCGATTTGTCAGCTTTTTGAAATGAAAAGATTCTTTTTGTTTATTGGAAATTTAGCGGCATCTATTGTAGAGAACGTTTCGACACAGGCTGAAGAGCAGCCGCTCTGCAAAACTTATACCCGGCAGAGTGAATTGTTCCGGACAAATCATTTTTGACGTGTCGATAAGGTTTCAGACGACAAGACGAGATAAAGCTACAAGAAATTCCGCAGCAATCGCTCATGGTTTTAACTTTCTTTTATGGTAAATCTTTTTTATTACAGTTCTTGCAATCGCCTGCAACGTGTTCTATTAGAGAACAAAGTAATTTTACAAATCTGGTAATCCAGGGGTAATCTGTTCGTTATGTTTCTATTTTGACGAGCTGTCAATTTACAAATGAACCGAACCGTGAAATATCAAGGGGCGTTTTCCAGAATCGTGGGGTTTGCGGGCAAGCGTTTCCTCTTCTCCCCTCCCCCTCCCCCTCCCCCTTCACACCTTTTTTTTGCTTCCGCTCTAACTTTCGCGCAATAACTCGATTGGAAACGCTTGCTACGCAGGCTAAGAAATTCCATACTGATGACGTGTCACCACCCAGATCTTGATAGTGCTTCTGATTGGTTCAAGCAAATGTCCTTCGTAGCAGGACCAATCAGAAGAATTATCGGCTGTTTTCTCAGGCTACTGTAGGTTAATACAACTACAACACTCGTGTTTGTGGAAGCAGGGAAGTTAAAGAACTGTTTTTCCTCAACTGAAGCTCCTAATGATCACAAACTATCACTCGCAATCTCGATCACAGGGCGCAGAAGAGTTATTTGTGATGGCAAGCGAAGCGAAAATTTTACAGCCGATCCCACGAGTCACCTCTGTTTACTGTGAACTTGACCTATCAAACCGTTATGAGATCGTGTTACAAACCTGGTAAAATATCATCTAATGCTCGTTGGGAAAGAACGGAAAGCGATTCGTCCGCAGTCAAAACCTTCAGCGGTTTTCCGTAGCGTTGGATAATATTTTACCAGGTTTATAAGACGATCGAATGACGGTTTGCTCGATTCTACAGTATAAAAACAAAGGCAGTGCGTGGTATTAACCGTGAAATTTAACTACAATCAACAATCAAGGTCACAGATAACTCCTCTACTCCCGGTGTCATGATCCCGGGGCTCATTAGTTTTTGGTCTGTTGGTTGTGGAACTTAAAGTATGACCATGAAAGATTTGGGTTCGAGATAAGATAACTCGCCCAATGTATATCAGCAAGAGAATTAATCCTCTCTTGATATGAATAGTTTATATATTGTGTGCTGCTGTTTGGCTAACGATCTTGTTTATCACTTTAGGTAGTATAGAACCAACGGCAACTATAGCAGAAAACACCACACTTGCTACGGCAGGACCGCTTTACACGGTTGCATTCAAATCAGAACCAAGCAACAACAAAAACAACAACAACGGCAAGAGCAATGGAAACAACGGTTCGCCAGCAGCAAATAGAAAGGAGGACTCCCATGGTTCTTCGTCTCTTGTGTCCTTTTGCGGATGGTGCCTTCTATTCTCTGCTACTACCGTGTCCCTACACATTGTTGCATGATGACGTCACGTTTCGGCTCAATCCTCAACAGATTTTGGAATTTATTCAACTCCCGTTATCTGAAAGCGCGAGATCAATCTCGTTCCCAGGGTTCTCTCCTACCCGTCCCTAGGGATCGAGAGAGAGACGGGTAGGAGAGAGAACCTGGGAACGACGTTGGCGCGAGATCTGGGCGTAAGAGCAACTTTGCTACTAGAGAAAACGGATTTATCAATCTCTTTGCCTTCTTTTCGTTTACAAGAAAACATGAGCATAATTTAAATTCCCTTTGATGGATCGTGCAGTTTGGATATCTCGAGAAGAAAAACTTTTGAACACAACCGAAAAACTTATTTTTAGTGGTTCAAGCAATGATTTAAACGGCTGTCTAATGACAGAAGAAATCGAATGGCACTTCAACAGAAAGAACAGCGATTAAAAACATACTTAACGATTTAACTACGATATGACTTGGCTATAAAGTAAACTTTTCATCACTGATATTTATCCAAGAGAGAAGGAGGTACCTCATTCTTTGTTGTGATATTACCTTATTCTCCTTAATTTTCGCGGGTTTTTAAATTCGCGATTTTCGCGATTTTAAAAAATTCGCGAACTTAAAGATCCGCAACGACCGCGAACTTTGATCTCGCGGAATTTAATGGACATAGAAAAATCATGTATTTGTGTTTTCAAGGGTCCTAAACAATTTTTAACACAAGGTGTTAGTACAAGGAGCTATCATCTATCAACTTTAGATGTTAATCAGTGTCAAGATTCGCCTCAAGTTCTTCTTCGGCATCTGAGTAATCATCTTCGCACAGTTCCTCCAATACATCTTTTGTACAGTCGTCAAATTGAGCATCCTGTCCCGGCTCCTTGTAGTGTGTAGTTACGAGTGTCTTGTATCTTTCCATTATTGCCCTGTTCCTTGGTATATCGTCCATTTCACATATCACCTCAACAGGGACAGCATATTGGTTTTGTTTTAATTGTTGATTAACGTAAAATTTTTGAAAAAAAGAAAAAATTAAGTCACTTAATCGTCAATTTCGCGAAATTAAATTCCCTGCAAACACTATTCGCGAAATGTGCCGAGAAAATTTTCGCGAAATTTAAGTCCCCCGAAAATAAAGGAGAATAAGGTATATGGATATGACTAGGATCCGAAAGCCCCTCGGACCTCGTTGAACTGTATATGGTTAAAACAAATAGTTCACACAGGAGACTTGTCTTGGCACAAACTGCGTTTAAAATGTAACATGTAAATGACTGGACACTATTACATTATTTAACTGTTTTGGTAGAAAATCAAATCTTGCGTTATTCAGGAGCAACATGATATATAAAAAAAAAGAACTGCAACGTAGGGCCTGTTTAATAATATGTGAAGGGAAGGGGGGACTAACGGAGCTATCCTGGCCGACTAAAATTTTCCTGCCTTGAAAGTGCATTGATAAGCAATTACACACTACACTGGGTAACCCACCCTTTCTTGTCTGCAGGCCCTCTGTTGGTCGGCATGAGTTAGGAAATAATAATAATGATAATAATAATAATAATAATAATAATAATAATAATAATTCAAAAGATCTGCATGCTGGGATCTGCGCGAATCCTCAGAAAGGTGCTCAGTGTATGAACAGAATGTTTGACTCGAGTGACTGACGCTCTAGGTGCATGGTTTGCGCCCGGCTGATGCACAAAAAGAACAGCAGCAAAGACTGTGATAATAGAGATGACAACAACAATAATAATAATAATAATAATAATAATAATAATAATAATAATAATAATAATAATGAAAATAATAATAATTATTAAAATTTGTATAGCGTCTATCCAATCCTGCTCTAGGCGCTTTACACAACATTCCAAACAATGAAATAAATAATCAAATAGTAGATGAATTAAAATTGACATACAAAATGGCCATTCTAACAATAATAAGCTCTCCTAAAAAGATAAGTCTTAAGGAGAGATGTAAAAGTACTGAGATTATTACATCACGGATGTTGTCAGGTTGAACGTGTCCCATAGGTCAGGAGCAGCTACAGCATATTACAGATAACAGGATTCGGGCGTAGTGAGTTGGATGACCGGAGAGTTCTGGGCGATAGCAAGTTACCAAATCTTTAATGTAGGTGGGTGCTTGTTGGTGTAGAGCCTTGAAGGTAAGCAGCAGGATTTTGAATTTGATACACTCATTTACAGGGAGCCAGTGTAGATCGTACAGAACTGGAGTGATGTGGTCGTATTTGCGGGAGCATGTAATCAGGCGGCCAGCAGCATTCTGTACTGATTAAAGCTTTTTCAAAACACACTTCGGCACATTATACAAAAGAGAATTGCAGTAGTCAAGCTTGGAGGATACAAAGGCATTGACCAGAATCTTGGTAGTCTTTGAAGATAAGAATTTTCTTAAGAGGGAAATGTTACGCAGATAGCAGACGGCTGATTTACGGACAGAATTGACATGCGGGAGCATTAGAGAGAGAGAGAGATCTCTATCAGCCCCCCGCCTTTTTCTTCTTTAGCTATTTTTGGTTTTTGCTGCCTCGTTTCGAATAACTGAGAGCCTTTCGGCAGCTAAAGAATCCAGTCTGCCC